TAAAAATAGAAACCAAGTCGTTACTGTCAAATAGTAACTACAGTGATGAACTACGTATAAATGGAATACATCCGTTGAGCCCTAGAAAAATGGTTCAGTGAAAAGTTATCTGAAATTCACCGTAAAGAAAAATCTTCACTGAAACAATATTTCCTGTATTTACTAACTATATGATTGAATAATACGCATCTTCGTCTATTCACGTTTGCAGAGGATAAAATGTTTCACTTGATATTGATTAATCACAAAAAGATATCACCATCGTGTAAAAGGATTACAAATAAACCATGTCACCAAGAATCTCCAACCATTGGTTACGATAGTCACGCGGACCACAACCAAGTAGTCTACATCTACCAACATGGCTAAGACTAGAAGTTAGTAAATTCAAGCACTGATGCCATGTTTTGGTTTGGTCGCCTCTAACTCTCTTCCAACCATCCCCAACACCGGTTAACATTGCGCGTCGTGGTAATCGGTGTTCAGGCATACACAACACGTGGCCCAACAATCTCAGTCGATGAAGATTAACAAACTCATCAACTGACTTACCATCATTCCCTAATACCCTGAGTCTAACCTCACTATTACTTGTCCGGTGATCCCAGCAGATGCGAGCAATATTTCTGAGGCATCTGAGGTCAAATATTAGTAGCTTACGAGTATCTTCTACACTTAATGGCCATGTTTCGCAGTCGTATAGTAAAACAGAGCGAACTTTCATCAAATTCTAGTCTCAGTGTTTAATTTATCTTATTCTGATGGTTGTTTTAATGATTAATTATTAATAATTGATTTCATTATTAAATTAAAGTGTACTCTATGTGCATGCTGAGTTAGTTAGTTAACTTTATGTCCTACCAAATGCTTCTCGGTACACAATGTACCTTTATGGATAGAAATAAACCTGACAAAGGTTGAACATTATTTTATTTAACTTAATTCTTATCATCCCATTTATCTCACTTATAATTTAATTAATTATAAAATTATTATGTATGATTTTGATGAGACGTTTCATACAGATTAGTTTAATTTACAGGTTGTTTTCGTCATAGATTGATATCCGTTAGGATGTTATTGAAAATTAAGTTATGAACAATCAATTGACTCCACAGACATGGTTAGAGTCAAACTCAAAACTTGAAGGTTTCTTGAAAAGTATATAAACTTTAGATTATTAAATCAAATTCAACGAAATACGAACTTATTACTATTCTCTATTTGTAGCTTTTTGTCATCTAAAGACACATTCATAGTATGAATCGCGAATCGATCCAAGTTAGAGAACTATCGAAAAACCGGGATGAATTAAACATCTGTTTCATTTTTATGTGAGACTCCTCAGCAATGTACATCCATGATTATGCCCAAAGAATTCAAACTAGGGACCTTTTGTATGGTGTGCAAAAACAGCATTCACAGATGAAGTCTAACAGCATACATATCTAACATCAATAAATTCAGGGTATTATGTGATAATCTTCAATCACCTGGGGTTGATAACTGTTACATACTCAAATGATTGATTTTAATGGCACATCTCACTAGAACTCTACACACACCAATGGGTCTCGGCTCAGTAGTCTGAATTCGAATACCTGTGGCAGGGTTATGGATGTCTACTGTTGAGAAGTTGTGCACTAGGACAAAACAGCTATTCAATGCCTTCTGGTTTTCAGTGGTTCTCTACATGACATCAATCCGTGAATAAAACACTGTAAATTCTACAATCTCCCAAAAAACTCTAGTAAAAAGAAATTGAGATGTTAGACAGTTATATACAACCTAAACGAAGTAACAATCTGATATTAACATTATTACAGGGTGTTGCGGAGACTGTTGAATTTGAAGTTTCACATTACAGATTGACATTGTATTAATGACCATTGGAAACTAGGAAGCGTTGTACAGATATTCCGAATCCAGGGTTCAATCTCTGTCACGGTCATTGATGCACAACGCTGAGTCTCATATATGAAAACGAAATGACCATATATTACTTGCAGGTTCTAGATAATTTTCTAACCAAAATCAATCTGTATTGTGAAACTTCAGTATCAATATTATTGGTATAACAATAACTAGAAAAACAGATATATTGTAAACCCTCTTTAATCATACTCAGTGATCAAACAAGTATGGCTTCGTGTGTGTGTGTGAAATCTGAATTGATCCATACAGATTTTAAAACTGAATGATGAAGTTTTCTGTAGATTATTTACCTTAGATGATGGTTGGAGGTAGTCGACAGGAAACCCTGGACCCGGGTTTCTTGCTACTTAGCACTCGTCAACAAGGTGTACCTGTAATCTTGAGGGAACTGATGCTCCCTGTCGAGTCACAGGACTAGACACGCATGACATTGATCCCCACCCAGTGATCAATCAATTGTGATTATTTACCTTAATCAATAGATCCAGGAGTTATAAAAACCTCAATCATATCAACAAACAAGTAATGTACACTGAATAGTAATATAAATAATGAAACATTATCTATTTCTCAAAACAAAATCATTCCATAATTGTAAATTATTCAACCAATAGGTTGCAATAAACAACTTCTTCCAGAAACATAAACATCATTTATTACATAATAGATGAAAATTACTCTCGATCACATTATTGTGAAAGATGAATGAAATTGATTAATGATTACAAGTCACAAAACAGGTACATTTTTATATGGTGTTTTTAATAAACAATCACCTTGATAATGTTTAGCAAAACCTAATTAGTAAATAAACAAAAGATTCCAAACTGAAATTTCTCATGTACAAATAAATATTCAGTCAGTCAACTACAATGTAGGACCAGGTACATATATGCATCAGTACAAGTTGCCATACCGCATCAGCACAGCAAGATGAACACCGAATTCATAGATGTTGTTGCTTCAATGGGTGTAATATATAAAAGAAAGATTGCGTATAAGGATACATAGTACAGGAAGAAAGAATTAGTTCGTAGAAAGAAAGATATGAAGCGATTTTAATCTCATAGTTTAAGGGAAGACAAGGAGTGAATGCACCTACGTAGTTGTGATCAATTCTGAGCCATGTCACCAAGACTCTCCAACCATTGGTTACGGTAGTCACGCGGACCCCAACCAAGTAGTCTACATCTACCAACATGGCTAAGACTAGAAGTTAATGAATTCAAAGACTGATGGCACGTTTTGGTTTAGCGGCCCCTTATAACAGATATATCAAAACAAATTTTAATGATCTTATAAAACTATCAGAATTGAATTATGAATGATGAACTCAACTAACAACACCATTTATTTTAATACTTTCATGAAACGATCAAGTATTATTAATTTGTAAAATGAATACATTATATTTGATACACTGATTCTAGTCGGCAGATTTTGATACTAAATAATTACTTATATTCTATTCAAATTCAATGTCCAATTAGAACATAAAATGTTGAATACTGTTTCGAAAAACTAAACTATTTTTGTCAAAGAAAGTTTATTCCAATCTTCTAAGATTATACATGATAATTAACGGTGAATATAGGACAGAATAAACTGTTGTGACATTAAACTTTGTTGATTGTTTGATCCTTTAAAGATTATAAACTAATCTAGTTAAATGTTACAATATACTAGAAAATATGAACTGAAATTAATTAAATAATGATGTACAATTAGGAACGAAAAATAATCACCTTGATCAATATAATTTACAGTGATCATAGCTAATAAATTAGATTATCAGTTTTCCTTTTCATGTAAGCCGACAGTTTATGAATGTTTTAATAGTTGAAGCATTTGAGGCTTTTGTCAATATCTATGTGAACAATTTGATTAAACTCAATATTAGAGTGTAGACTTATGCAATCAGTTTCGAATCATATTATTTATGGAATAACTAGTGATACTTAGTTGAAGACTCGGTGATTTGCTTGTATATAAACTACATACGTCTTAAAACATGATTTATGCAGTGGAGTCCGAGACTGTGTTCTGGACTCAAACGAGCAGGGCTTGGCAAGAAGAACCAATAAAGTGAGTTCACTCTAGGCTGCTCGTGCTGGTTAACGCGTCATTGGTTTGGTACAGTGCCAATGTCGTATAAGTCAGTGTCATGACTGGCAATTTTGTCAGGTAATAATTACCAGGGCATAAGAACATAACACACATCACAACTTACACTAAACAAACTGTCCACAATGTTATATAAAATATATTATGACATACGATCTCGTAAATTACATATAAAATTATTTATGACCTAAACGTGACATTTAAGGTGTAAGGTTAACCATCTGTCTTTAAATGTTTAAGAAAAGTGTGGTATCAAACACTGCTCTGTCCATTTACTGAGTGTGCAATTTTCATTGGAAATTTCATTTCAACCTTAAGCTTTCATTTTAGTTGTGTTCTTCATCCGATATGACCTATCAAGCACTACGCTGATGACTTCACAATAAACAAAGTAAGACAACGTCATATTCTTGAAATGAAACCCTCAAAGAAAATCAAATTCCTATACAATATTTACTCACTAAATAGACAGAAAAATAACCGAAAATGCTTGATACATCACATTTATCGAACCTCACACCTTCAATTTATCCATTGCACTCTTGTTGTAAAAATATTATGGTGACGTTAAACTGACCTTGAGGGTCCACACCTGATAACTAGGACCAAATGAGGGTTATAAACCAATGTGAGGAATTAGAATTATGATTTACAGTTGATGGTTAGTATTAGGAATCAGATTTACGGTTTTCATCACGAACTGATATTAGCTATAATGCCAAAACTTTATTTAGCCAAATGGATGGGTGAATTTCGCGCCGAAATCCTGTTATCTTATACCTGATTGGTTCATCCATAAATTATAATCTCGCCAAAATTATGTTTCTTTTCAGGCATGAATAATTCATTACTTTACACTTCTATTAACCGACTAAAAGACTAAAAGCAACAAACCCAAGGTCCGAAGCTGAAGTCATACTGCTAACATACATCACAATTAATTACACAGGGAACATCATATATACCCGACAATGATATACCCCAATGGTAATATAATAGCAAAATGCTGAGGGAAAAATCAAAGTCTGTTATTAAATAGTTAACAAATCTTATATGAATTTCGTTGTATGTAATAGGTGAAACCAATGATTACTTCATAGTAAAATGTAGTATACATGTATGTATATATGTATAAAAAAAGTTAATTTTTTCAACAAAAAATAATCTCAAAGGAATTTCAGTTGTCAATAGCAAAAAAATTTTTTATAAACAAGACCATTTCATCTCAAAGTGAAATACATGGATAAGTACAAAACAAAAACAACAACAGTAGAACAGCAGTAAAACAAAAGAAAATAGGACTATTCATATTTCAATTATACATATACACAAAGAGTGTATGTATGTGTGTCTGTGTGCGTGTAGTTGTGGGCGCACAAATCCAAATGAATTTTATTTGAAGAGATAATTATTATAAAATAAAAAAATAATATTGTTTTTTTCTTTTTTACATCCACAGAGTAGTACACACTCCTGTCGTACTTGTAACATGAAGGATATACTTGACCAAATAGATAATATATTTTTAATTTAAACAAGAAAACGCCAGAATGTAGTAATGAAGAAACACAGAAGGAAAGAGAGAGGATGAGGGTAAAGACAAGTGTAAATGTAAATTTTACGGAAAAGAATCGAATGTACACAGGCAGACACACATACATCAGTAACGATAGTAGTGAGACAATATTTAAAAAAAGAAGAAAACAAAACAGAGAAATTAAGCACTTACAGTTGGTAGTGGTTTAGGCAAAGATTTTGTAGGAGATGCTTTCGGATCACCGTTATATGATAATGCAAACATCCTTACTGGATAAAATGATGACGGGAAATTTGTTTGAGCACGTTCACCAATTAATGTTAAACCAGTATCCATAAAAGCTCTTATATAAGTTGATCGTGATCTTGTATAGCTACTATCGATCTCATCGAAATCGATTTCTTCTGAATTCATGATTGATTTTTCATCGTGTCCACCAGGTGAAGTGATATTTTCTTTAATTACAATTACACCGCCTGGAGAGAGTCCATGAGCACAACGTTTTAAAAAGGCTAACAAAGCTAAATCTGATAAATGGCCTAATACCCACTGAATCCAAATTAGATCATAACGACCAGTTGGTGGAGTAAAGTCCTGGAATTTTGAAAAAAATGGTAGAATTTTCACAAATCCATGGATGCAATTGCTATAAAATTACACACATATAAATACACACAGAGTTTGGTGAGGAAATTATCGGACAGTTAATTATTGTAGTCAGTGAGCCCGACCATTGTTGCTGCCTTGACGTGGTGGTCGGGCTTGCCTATCGTGATGAAGCAACCGAGCTATACTGGCTGGAACAACCGTTCCTCAAGGTCCTACCATGTCAGACAGGTCGGTTGAAGAGCGGTAAGACTAAGAGCAACAAACCCAAGGTCCGAAGGCGAAGTCGTACTGCTGACTGTACAGAGGTGTGACAGCAGTAAGGTGTTTCCTTCAGACAACCAGCATGACAGCGATGCTGCCTTCCCACAAGGAGGGGTGGGGTTAGAAAAGCTCGACCCTAAAAATGCACACCTCACCTTATCCCACGGATATCCGTCTCCGGCGGTAAGGTCTCAATAAGTACGGAGCTAACACAAAAATTACCCATAAAAGGTCGTGTGTGACCGACCTCAAGCAGTTGTCCCTTGGGCACTGCGGTCACGCTCTCACGTCACTAAGACCACCCCTAATCCAATTTCCTTTTCAGGTACCTCCAGAAAACCCTTCCACGGTGTGGGCAACCGGGAAGTGATAACCGCCCTCATACCTCTAACAGCACTCAAGACCACTGTATTCATAATCAACTTCCTCTTCAATTCCTATTATTCCTCCTACATCGACTTTCAACCTAAACTTCCTCTTCGGCTTCCTCCTCAAGTGTCACCATAGCCAACGATTCTAGTGCTCAAAACACTGTCCCAGGTCTACTGAAACCTCGCTCCAAACTACACATTGGAGCCTTCAACGTACGCACCCTATGTCAAATCGGTCAGCAGGCTTCCTTGGCTAAAACCCTAGAGTCTCTTTCCATTGATGTATGCTGTCTCCGAAACACGCATACAGGATCCCAGTGTGGTCATTCACTTGACCTCACCTCGGCAAACGGAGAGCCAACGAGATACACCCTTCGTGTATCTGGTGACCCGATGGCAGTTCTCGTGGACTGGCAGGTGTAGGCATAGCACTAAGCATGAGGGCCGAACAAGCACTGCTAGAGTGGATCCCCGTCAACAGTCGTCTATGTGCTGTTCGGCTGAACGGCTACGTAAGAACTCGGAAGGATAGGGACACACGTCGTTGCCTTTTTGTCGTTTCTGCCTACGCTCCCACTGACTGCAGCTCAGATGAAGTGAAAGATGAATTTTACAGAAAGCTGTCCGAACTTCTTCAGAAAGCTAAACGCTCAGACATAGTACTCGTAGCAGGTGATTTTAATGCTCAGATAGGTAGTTTAAACCAAACAGAAAGGCATTTAGGTGGATATTTTAGTATTCCGACACAGCGAACAGATAATGGTGATCGTCTGCTGCAGCTATGCTCAGACAATCGTTTATTTTTAGCAAACACAAATTTTAAGCATAAGGAGAGACATCGTCTAACATGGCGACCCCCTACACCAAACCAACGATGGACTCAAATAGACCATATTGCCATCAGTCATCGTTGGAGAGGGTCGGTAGAAGATTGTCGCTCATTCTGGAGTACCTGCTTGGACTCCGACCATGCCCTAATACGGGCACGCATCTGCTTGCGCCTCACTGGACGCAAAAAAGCCACATTAAAAAGACCCATTAGAACTGAGTTGAGTAACGAGAAAACCAAAAGTAGGTTCCAGGAACAACTGAGGTCACACTTAGGTAGTTCTGAAACGAGGCTGAACCAGATGTGACATCTATTAGCGATTTGAACCACAGAGTTACAAAGAACCAATGGATTTCTTCAAGGTCTATTGCACTGAAGGATTCTCGTAAACTCATCCCATCAGGTTCTGAACATGATGAAGAGCGTAAACAAATCAGATCTAGGTTAAGAAAAAGTCTAAGGAACGACCGTGAGCAGTGGTGGGCAACGAAACAAAAGAGATGAAAAAGGCGACGGCTATAAGGAACACAAGACAGCTCTACGAACTAATAAAAAAACTGGAATTATAAGTCAAGTGTAGGTCAGACTATTTCGGAAAAATACGACACCCTCATCTGCTCCCAGTCCAGACGTTTAGAATAATGGGCAGAACATTTTAGAGAACAGTTCAGCTGGCCTTCAGCTACTCTACAACTACCCTCCATTCCCAGACAGTGTGAATGGAACATTGAAGTAGGTCCTCTAACTCTAGCTGAAGTTGAAAAGGCTATAGTTAATCTGAAACGAGGAAGGACAGCTGGTCCAGCTGGATTGGCTTTTGCCAACTTACGTCACCTATGGCGAAGGCGAGATATCCGTCAACCAAAAAAGGACGAGTATACTACGCGCAGTTCGTTCTCTCCTACTTTACGGCTGCGTAACATGGCCACTAAAAGTAGAAGATATGCGTTAGCTACTAGTATTCGACCGCAGATGCCTCAGAAATATTGCTCGCATCTGCTGAGAGCACCGGACAAGTAATAGTGAGGTTAGACTCATGGTATTAGGGAATGATGGTAAATCACTTGATGAGGTTGTGAATCTTCATCGACTGAGATGGTTGGGCCACGTATTACGTATGCCTGAACACTGATTACCACGACGCGCAATGTTAACCGGTGTTGGGGATGGTTGGAAGAGAGTTAGAGGCGACCAAACCAAAAACATGGCATCAGTCCTTCAATTCACTAACTTCTAGTCTTAGCCATGTTGTAGATAGACTACTTGGTTGGGTCCGCGTGACTATCGTAACCAATGGTTGGAGACTCTTGGTGACATGGCTCAGAATTTATCACAATGGCGTAGATGTATACACTCTCTGTCTTCCCTTAAACTATGAGATTAAAATCACTTCATATCTTTCTTTCTACGAACTAATTCTTTCTTCCTGTACTATGTATCCTTATACGCAATCTTTCTTTTATATATTACACCATTGAAGCAACAACGTCTATGAATTCGGTGTTCATCTTGCTGTGCTAATGCGGTATGGCAATTCGTACTGACGCATATATGTACCTGGTACTACGTTGTAGCTGACTGACTGTAGTCAATGAAGGGAAATATTATCCAACAAGCTATTCACGAACATATTTTTCTGGGCACATGTTTTGTGTATGGAAGGTATTAAAATCATAACCTGAAAAAATACCTTTTTAAATAGATACTGGATATGAAACAGTATATCAACATGATTTGTGATTAAAATATTTGACTTTCGCTAATCACGCAATAGTTTTCACAAAAATAAGTGAAGTTTCCATTTACTAGTGGAATCCAGGATCCACGTTTCGTCTCATTTTAATTTCGTCAGTTAGATGTAGCGGCACCCCAATGCGGATACTCATACTGAAGTTCGAATCTAGTGTTTGTTGGTTCAAACGCTAAAACGTTAACCAATAAACTACTGAGTTTAGATAGTCATCAACTTTTTTTACGAATATGACGTTTATATCATCAGTTAAAGACCCAATGTGAACATCAACACTTGATTACAGATACATACAGTTGATGAGTTTTAAATACGGCGAAATGTGTACACTCACAGTTACACCGCTATCTATCTATTCTAGAAAATAATGTTTAAAAATGACTACATTGAAGCAATGCGCAAAGGATAAACATATGCTAACAAAGACTAATCATAATTCAGTCTTAAATATCAATAATCGGATAATTCAAACCTTCATTAGTATTGATATAAATTAGTTTATTATTGAATGAATTGTAAGATAAAATAATGTCAGCAGATTATGTAATGGACTAGTGGACTGTCTTTACAGTCGAAATTAAAACATCATCACTCAGTAATCAGATTCTTAAAGTACAACTGTGACAAAATATGTTATTGATTTTCATACACATAATTCTAAAAAGTTATATGTACATCGTTTAGATAATGAGAAACATTTGTACAATAAAAAGTGACATTTTTAGGAATTTACGATACATTTATCTCTCGATGTTAAATACCTTGAATTTAAAACATATTCTGATAAAATGGGAAACAATTTACATATTTCCATGTTCCCATACACATTGTTTTGATGAAAAATTGTAAAATACTTACTTGTAAACCAATACAGAAGCGTTCACCAACTCTAGGAAAATCTTCGGGTCCAATATATTCTTCTGCTTGATTAAGAAATGATTGTGTCAATTCAACCATATCGACAATAGAGAAACGTGGTAATAATAATTGTTTAGTAACACGTCCAATACCAGCGCCACAATCTAATGCGTACGCTGTAGTAGATGGTCCGAATTCATCGAGAAATATCTCAGAATCTGCAATATCCGGGACATTTAACGAGGTATAACCTGATAACATTCCGTCAACTGTAGCTGGAACTTGACTCCAATAGATTTTTGCCTTTGAATAAAATGTAACTGGTGTTCCAACAGGCGACTGAGAGATAGACATATGTCGACGTAATAACTGTAAGTCTAATGGAGGAGCACCGACAACAGTTTTTGAGCGAAATCCATCATGTTTATTACTGGTGTTCTGATTGTGTTTTTAATTGCACCACTATGTGGAGCTTTTGCTACTGGAGAGGTTGCCTTGTACAAAGTTGAAAAAGGTGAAACAAGGATGAGAATACACTTAATATTTTGTACACGGAGATCAAAATTTAATATAAAATGTATATCTAAGTCAATAAAATAAGTTTCATGTATTTATCCATAAACTATATGTGGTGTGTGTGTGTGTTTGATAGATGATACATAGTTGGTCAAACTAAAGTATTTAAATGCGCTCAGAGGTGCATTTTAGTGTGTGTGATAGCTGGTTGGTCGCCATGTAGCACAATTTGGTCAATCAACCTAACAAAACTCAAAAAATACATAAAATAGGGAGAAAAAAAGAACTGATAGGTGGAACAGAACGAACTGTCGCGTTTATGATTTACAGAAAAATCATAAATAAATGCAGCTGTACTACTGAGGCCGTTTATGTGAACAATATGTCACAATATCACTCTTCTGATTTACAGGAAGAGGAAAATTAACCAAAAAATTGAGAAAGTGATGATAAACCTTCGCAAATTAATCAAGACGAGTCTGAATCATTGAGCTAAATAAATATACTTACATATACACGCATAATGACAAAATCAGTAACAACAACCATCATACACAGATTTTCTGAGACAATATAAAAGTAACAAAAATAGTTCTACATGGAGCGTTATAGAAAAGTGCTGAATATTATTGGGACCACAAGTCAACCAAAGTTAGACAAGCATCGAAAACTGCTTCGTCCTAGCATGGAGCTCCTCAACAATGCGGATCTACGACCCTCACCACCAAGGACTGAACTCAGAATCTCCTGTCTCATGCATGAATGCTTAATCATTAGATGTGATCTAGAGGTTAAGCACTTATGTGTGAGACCGAAAGTCCTCGGTGATAGAGACGTGGATATGCATTACTGAGGAGCACCATGCTAGAACGAAACAACTATCCAGTGCTACCAGAATTTTTATGGGTGTCTAACTCATTTGGATTTACGATCTCAAAGAGAATTCAAGCTTCACAACCACGAACAAACGATACGTTCTTCTTTTTTTTAAGTGAATACATCGAATTAAATACATAAATAGAGAGAAAAATCAAAGCTATCATCAGAAAACAAACAGATTTATTGATATTTAACATTAAACAATATCAATAGATTACAAAATGCAAGAAATTTTACATAAAATTTTTCATAAGTTTTTTGGGTAACTGTTATCGAGTTACAAGATAGAAAACAAATGGTTCATATCAACAAGATAATATTGTATACAGATGAAAAATGTTAAGATCTGAGTTCTGTCAAGCGCGTCTTTGAGTAAATGAAGGACTAGTACCTGTATAAGTTTGAAGAGGAAGATAAAAAAAACAGTTTCAACAAATCACATCGTATAATAATAACACAAATAATAAATACATATTAATTAATAGTTGAATTCATGAGTAGATTTAAGCTAGACCACTATGGAAAACCTGAAAGCACTGGATGACCGTTTCGTCCTAGTATGGGACATATTAATTACAAACATCTGCTCAAATAAATAAAACAAATTGACTAATAGGTAAACAGATAGTTTATATAACAACAGTTATTATTATGATCAGAGCCCATAAACAACCTAAAAACTGACATACATGTACATCAGCTCAAGCTACTACATCATATCACCAAACCCAGAAGAGGTGATCACATCAAAACCAATTATGCAGTTGTTGTAAGAATAGTATCATTGGTGGTAGACAAGATAAATACGCGGAACCAAAAAAGGGGAAAATTCCAAAACATGAAAATCAAAGAGAAAACAAAAGGTAAACTAAGCTGAGCTCATATGATCGACTTCAAACTATATCGTGCAATACCCAAACCAATCTATCTAGTCTGCAGTTATCAACATGAGTTAAATCAACAGTCAACGACTTTATGAATTGACCGTAGATAAATTTCTTTTAAAATGCTCTAACATTGCGTTTCCATGTTAGCAAACGTAACACATGGTCCAACCGCTCCAGTCGACGAAGACGCGCAGCCTCATTAACAGGTTTTATATCCTTAAAAATTTGTCTTGAATAACAGAGTAGTATGTGTACCAACGGCAGCTAACTTTGAATTATATCACCTAAAATCTCTCACTAGCGATTATAGACATCTTGTGGATTGAAACAGAGCTATCTGCACAGCACAAGATGCCTTAGTTCCACAGTTTGACAACCAAGGTTCAATAGATGAATCTGGTAACTTGACGTTTAATCCAAAGACTTTAAATCACGTTAATTACAAATGAATAAAAATATGTATTTTTAGCCTAACGTCATTTGAAACTTATATTTGTAAATTATGTATTCTTCATGCACAAATATATATATTAACAGCGGAGAAATCAATCAATTAATCAATGACAAGCAAAATAAAGTGTGATATGTGTGGTAACGCAATTTATCAGCTCCCATTAGCAACCAAGTCAAAATAACTGGAGTATTTATGATAGTGACAGAGATTAAGTAATGAGTATGGTTCGATAAGGTGTAATGGAAATGTATTGTATGAAAGATATTGAGAATGATTAAGAATGAGTGCAACTGAGGACCATTGTGAACGATTCTGAGTAGTCAGCCCTTTTATTCAACGACTAATTGATTGCGACTATTGCCTTGGACTTCCCTCCTAACATAGAAACGATCTCAAATATAGGAGCTCAGCGTTAGAAGCTTTCTATTTGTCCGTCATAAGGAAAGGAGAACCTTACACATCAATGATAAACCTTTATTCAATAGGATTAGTGTCTACAAAATATTCTTTTCTAATATGTTGACTGATGATTTTAAAAAGAATAAAAACTTAACTACAGAACAATATTGACTGACGTGAGTATTTATTATTTTTCATGCTAAGAGTAACCTCAACATGACCTTGAGAAATACTTTTTATTTATCATCTAATAAATAATGGAAAATACTTTTTACTAGTAAGAAAAACAATGAAACAAGCCTAGGAGTCATGTGATATTGAATTAGTTTAATTTAAAGTATGAAGGTAATTAGTATACTGTACAAACAGAAATCAAAGATTTGTAATTAATACATCATGGACTAATTTCAGTTTAACAATAATTGAAAAACAGAAACCAATTGATAACTATTATGTCCACCTTAAACCTCTTACAACACTAAATTATAACTTATAATCTAAGTGTTAAATTAACCAATATGATAAGCAAATGTTTGTGAATTTGTTTTTGAGTGTGAGAGCTAATAGCACCTATTCTATATATCAAATCTAGCTAGGTGAAGAATGGGTTTCAGACCTGAGAATTAAACCTAGAAAATTGAACGCCTTAACGACTGAGAGATCTGTTCATCATCATAAATATTCAGTGATTGGAATTCTACCTGACATATGCAACTCATTTGGTAAAGTTTAATGTTCTACGATAAATCAGTTATTTAAATAGAATTTTAGGTGCTCGCATTAAACAGAACTTTTATCGGCTTCGGGGTTCAATGAAAGACCCTTGTTGTTTGATTAGAAATTAAAGAATGAAACATCCACCTAATCGTAGAATATAGAATGCGTTCAATACTAAATCATTGCTCTACACAAACGAGTAGCTATATTAAGGTATTGCAAAAAAATTTTCAAGTTAATCAATGATCTTTACTTCTTACAACTTAGTGTTGGAGACGGTTGAAAGAAAGTTAGGGATAGGCAAACCAAAACATGGCATCAGTGTTTAAAGTTACTAACTTTTAGTCTAAGCCATATCGACAGATGTAGACTACTTGGTTGGGATCTGCGCGACTATCGTAACCAATGGTTGGAAACTCCGGAGTAGATGTATACACTATTTTTCTTCCCTTAAACCGTGAGATTAGAATTACCTTATGCCTTTCCTTCCACGAAGTAATTCTTTCTCCTAGTATTATATTCTTATTGCAATCTTTCTTTTATATATTACCACCACTGAATTAACTACTTCTTTGAATCCGGTGTTCATCTTGCTGTGCTAATGTGGTATGGCAACTTGTACCGATGCATATATGTGCCTGGTCCTACGTTGTAGCTGACTGAGACAACACATTAATGCCACATTAGGACAAAGTGGCAATAGAAATGTTCTCCAGAAAATATTTCCAGTTTAATGCATGACTTTGTTATATAGCGTGATCATGAAATGTGCGAGTAATTTGACGTGAAGTATTGCATGATAAGATACAATTTTCCAATATTTGACATTTTATTTCATGCTTCTAGGATTACATGAATGATTTGTTCTAACACTCATTGATCAGTCAAGGGTAATCAAATATCATATTTATTTAGGTTTTAGTGTAGACTGAAATTAAATTGATTCAGTTGAGGATAATGTCAATTTAGTTTAATTAGATAAACATTTCGTTCGGCACAGTCAAATCATATGTTACTATTGAGTCATTTGAGTCCTATGAGAAACAGTAACAGTTAGTTCGAATTAACAAATATATCTTATTGAAAATATAACAACTAGTACGTAAACTAAGTTCAGGGTTTCCTGTTGACCTAGTGGTTCGAATCACCAAATATTCAGTGAAAGACCTCAAGGTCTTGGGTTTGATTCATGTTTGAGTAGTAAATACGTGCTGTGGAGACTTTTACTACAATGGAAATGATATTCAACATTCTGTAAAATTCCCACAACTGTAAATTTAATTTCTTTGTGGTCATAAACTAGGTGACAGCTTTTGATATTCTTTATGTTCATCGTAAATTGGTGGTACTATGAAATCGGTCATATCAGTTGATAAATAGTTAATCAGTCATGTACATTGTAAAATCTGACACATGTGCATCGATTCAAGTTGGCCTGCCACATTAGTACAGTAGCATAGAATTATCATGAAAGATTCTAGAGTAGTAAAGGCAATAGTAGTATCAGTAATGATAGAAAAGACTAGATACAGAAAGAAAAAATAAGGTAAATGGATATTTCGGGGCTCAAGTTCTAAAGGAAGACGAGGAGTGAATACGCCTGGATAACGGTGAACAATTCTGTCCCATGTCATTCAGTCTCTAACCATTAATCACAATATTCGTACAGACCTCAACAAGGTAGTCCATCCCAACTGTCAATGACTTCATGAATTGATTACGCGTTTTGTTTTTGGCTACCCTTAGGTTTCTTTCACTCTACTTTCACACCAGACAATATTGTTCGGATATATATATATATATATATATATATATATATATATATATATATATATATATATATAAATTTAGAGTAAGATTAAAACATACCAAAAGGTGAAGCAGGGATATTTCCACCAGGTGGTGAGTTTTGAGCAAGTGATCCAAAACTTAAATTATCTGATTTACTCCCTAAACTACAATGAATAAGGTGTAAAATAAACAAGATATAACAGTTAAAATTGATAAATAAATAAAATGAATCGACTAGTTAATAATAACTGATTATTAAAAATAATAATATATCTCTAAAACGGATGTATTGAAGCTTGAATAGCTCTTATGATTGGTTTATTGGTTACTTGATAAAGATTGAACATATGAGAGGTGTATGAACGTACTGAAAGCTGCAGATATACATACAGACATATACTGATGGGTGGCGAAACTACTATTTCTGGACGAACCAATCGGATTCAGGATAACAGGTCTCGAATTTTGGCGCGAAATCCATTCACCTATTTGTCTAAATAGTGTTTTGGCATTTTAGCTGATGTCGATTCGTGATAGAAACAGTAAATCTAAACCCTAACCCTTACCATAAAATGTAAATTATAATCCTTATTCTACATACTGCTTTATAACCCGCATTTAGCCCTAGTAAGTAGGCAAACATTCTCAAGATCACTTCAGAGTCGCTTAAAGGTCGTTGATAAATCATAGACTCATTTTATACAGTTTAACAAAATATCAAATTTATTTGTATCATGATCATACATTACAAACTCGATCGACAAAACTTATTAGTCAGGATGGAGAAGTAGAAAAAAATAATAATTGTTAACCAATGATGAGTTAACTTAAAACTGTTTCTGAAAAAAATTAATTTGAAAGATGCCAAATACAAATAGAATTGTCATTCAGATGAATGTATAAAATAAACTTCAGTATTCGACCTTACAGTTACAAATAAAAATTCACGGTTATCGAGATCGGGATGGAGAACGTGATTCAAATCATTGACATTAGATTGATCTGCAAATAGATTATGTCTTGTGAATGGTAATCAAAATCACCTGCCAAATCACAATCAGAATCTGACTTTCAATTTAGTCTGTTATTCACTCTATAGCTTAGTTTCTCTGGTTTAAATAATTGCATGTCTGGTTAGCATTATTAACATAAAATCAACGGTTAAGTTCTCATTGGTCCACTATTCGTTAGCTCCTATCTATCCACAGCCTTGAGTTATCATTCCTTCAATCTTCGTTTGGATATATCAATAAGGTAATTCGACACACCATCGATGAGGTTTTAAAAGATTCATAAGAGAACAAGAAATGTTTTAATTGTCCGTAATTCCATATAAACTATGAGTACATGTAACAAGTGATGTGATGTTCTATCACTAAGCTATCAAAATAATTGTACAACACTTTGTACATTGTTTCGAATAGAGCAGTGATGCATCTTGAAACACATCTAATTAGTGCTTAGAATTTATCTAAATTCAAGAAGCTGAATCTGTTTTCCAGGAGGGGAAAGTAATACATAAAGCTAATCAGAATCCACCGAATGAGAAGACCAAAACGTTGTGCCAATTATAAAATCTTTTAACGACAAGTACAGATGATTGGTCAAGAAATTGTTTTATTTTCTAAATAGTATATATATATATATATATATATATATATATATATATATATATATATATATATATATGAGTATTATGTATGTGGATCAGTTTAGCCCAATAAACCTTTCTTACTCTTAGTCTTTTGGGAGCTTTTTTATCAGAAATTTGTGTATCAGTATTTTATTCTCCAACACCATGCGTCATAACAGAAACAATCTAAGATAGGTAGTGACAACACAAAGAACACTGTCAACTTACGAGGCAAACAATCCACCACCTACAGGTGCGGGGTTAGAACCACCACCACCACCGAACAAGGGCCCAGTTGAACCAAATAATCCGCCACTAGAATTAAATGCCCCGGGACCATTCATTCCGAATAAACCTTGTCCAACTGGTTTATCAAATGCAGGACTGCCAAAAGTTGGTGAACTTCCAAAACCACCAACGCCAGTAGTAGGTGTCTGTGTACCAAATAAACCTGCTCCTGGATTAACATTTGTTCCGACATTACTAAATAACCCGCCACCACCTCCGCTCATTGTAGTAACAGGTGTAGGAGAGCCAAACAAAGATGAACCTAAAATTGAACTGTTGAAAAGACCAGATTGAGGACTTGACAGTGATGCACTTGCTCCAGAAATAATATTATTCTGTGTACTTGAATTAGGCGAACCAAATAAAGTAGAGTTAGCTAAATGATAAAATAAAGATAAAAAGGCGGACCAAAAAAGAGGAATAATTTGCATCAATTTTACGGAAAATCGAATGATAAGATGTGCTAATGACATACTATATACAGCTTGATATATCGTTTAAAATCTCGACCCATACAGAAACAATAAAGATTCAGAAAGGCGTTTTCGGTATCTCTTAACATCCAGCTCAATTAACAATGAACTTAGATTATTAAGACTACATCTTGAGAACCAGTCATTAAAGCGACATAATTTACGTGAGTGCAATTAACGAAAATTTCAAAATAGTAAAACAACATTGTTTATGACTTATCTTGATAGAAATTTTGAGAAATATTGCATTATAGGACAAGAATTATCAGTAATAGAGTTAAAACAGTTTCATTACATATGACTTCGACTAAAATATTATTCTAAACATCAATATACCGCTTTACAAAAATTGAAAGCTACAGCGCACGATCCAGCTTATACGCGCGTAAACTTTAGAAACCCTACAGCTATATGTAGTTGAGGTGTTTCAAATTATGAAACACCTGTTCAGTGATCTCTGGTTTTCACTGGTTAACTAGCTAGAGTCAATTTGCAATGTGAATTATAAACCAGACAATCTTTACAAATCGACAATAAACAGTCAGCCAAAGTATATGTGAGTGTTCTTAAAAGTGTATTGCAAATGCCCAGTTGTACATACTATGATAGGATACTCTATCGGTAAGGAAAGAGGATAAACAGTGGTCATCACAATGGGTAAGCACAAATGTACGTCAAGTTAGTAGCTACGGTAGAGACTAACATCAAGCGTTATTTTTGGTTGATTTATCGAGATTAATTTGTTACCACAAAAATGTTTGTATGATAAACAACGACGTCATTACCAAGACAGTGTATTTATCATAACTATGCTGAAAGAAAAAATAGTCGAACAACATCTTGTCCAAAAACGTATGGGGAAATTCCACACACACACACACAAAATCAAATAACTAACCTTGATTTGCAAAAGCTGTGTTACCAAACGGTTTGCCAAAAGCATTTTGTGTGGATTTTGAGGTGTTGAATTCCCACCAAGACTTAAGTTTGATACAGAGAATAAACTGAAGACAAAACAAATAACAAGAAAAGAGAATTCTATAGATTGCATGATACACAAAACAAAACAAAATGGTGAAAAGGTATAGGAGGACCGATTCAACGTTACTGATATGACAATAAGATGAAAGCCTCTGCTGACAGTCAAGGCTTAATAATATTTCAGAGTGAATGAGGGGGTTAGTAATTGACAGTGCTCGTATCATCAAAGCACTTAGATTTCTATAGCTTACATCACAATCTGACCTTAGTTAGATGATCGTTGGAAACCAGAAAGGACTGGGAAGCTGTTTCATTTTAGAATGGGACTCCCCAGAAGTGTGCATCCGTCGTCACATCGGGGATGGAATCCTAAACCTTTGGATCTTATCGTGAGCACCTACTCTTTCATATTTTGTTATCTAACAATCAACTACGTTCATTTATGCACCTAGTATATGGGTATAAAAGCACAGTAGTTTACAAGGAAAAAGAAAGTTTTATTCTTCTGATCAGTTATTTAGCCATTTTGATTATAAGAATTTAAATAGAAGTGGAGCCAATGTCATTAGATATTTGTCACCTGGCAACATTAAACATCACTTACACCATGAAATGCAGCAACACAACACGAACAAGATAAGACATAGGAGACAGTTCTGAGTTGTTACACTAAAAAACCGCTTAATACTGTCACGACAAGTAGAAATTAATTATAGAGTGTGGACTTACAAAACTAGGATAAAATCATTAATAAAAAAATAATGACATATTTTTTATATCTCAATAAGTAGAAATTCGAATTTTTGACGTTCCTCCAGTTGAAAGCTATAATATTCGAATCACAATTTAACGTACACATTATTGAATGAAAGTAACAACATTCAACAGCTACCCACCTGTTTGTAGATTTTGTATCGGATCCCATAGGTGAACCTTTATGACGAATACAAAAAGCACATATAAACACAATGATGATGTGAAAAAAAACTAAGAAAAATCGAATCATGAAAAATGCTTTAATAAAGTTACACCTAAAAGGGAAATTCTTTGCATAGGAAGATTAACAACAAGTTATATCTAAAACGTGATTATTTCATGTACGGTTCAACATTGATTACAAGTGTTTTCAGTGAAAACATTACGAGAATATTTACGCTTCATCGAGCGAAAATATCAAGACTGAGCAGTATTTTTGAACAAAAGGTACATTCATAGTAAAAATTGTAAAAAAAAAAATATTTAAGGTAAGCGAAGAAATAATGGTACCCTATCTTAGTTAATCAAATAAAGTTTATACAGATTCAAAGTCAATAATTTGCTATTCTCTTTTGATTCCATTTCTTCATTCTACTAATGATGCCTTTTAATGCTCTGATACGGCCGAAGACGGGGAGAAATCACTTCAACTAACAATGGTAGACAAACTTTTATCTTTACTTTCGCGCTCTTTGTTATTTGTCTTCTGTACAGCATTCAAGTGTAAGAAAACGGCAGGATGAATGAAGAAGTGATTAAAAAGTAACTACGAAGCGTTAAAGTACCAGATATATCACAATAGTTGATAATACTATATGTTTCTTCAGTCAGTTAATCGATGTTTGTAAATTCTGAAACTGACTTTTTCAATATAAAGGCAGGATTAGTGTATGCCGAGAGAAAAACCTTTTTAATCATCTTACTTATTCTAGAACCCTATCGAATCAATTAGCCGGTTATTACAGTTTTTGATTGAGATCATGAACCGATTGTTGTTAGACCACTATTGAAAACCTTGAAGCAATGGACGGCCGTTTCGTCCTATTGTGGGACTCCTCAGTAATGCGTATCCACGATCCCGCCCGTGGGATTCGATTACAGTATTCCCAGATGATTGAAAATACTTAAAACATTCACTCACGTCAACAAAACCATCGATATTTTTATGCATTAAAGTCAGTCAGTCAATTATAAGTAGAAACTGGAAATTTTTTTCTCCTCCTTGGAAAATCAATCCATTTTTTAGTCAATGGTGTGCATTTTTCCTTTAGGACACTTCTGATTGAAACCAAGAGACCTTCTCCTTTGGCCACTTTTGATTAACCGACTATATCAAATTACGATCCGACTATTCAACTATTATTTATGACAATCATGTGGACAAAAAACAGGGAGCTTCTATTTATTGACACAGAGTACTCGTTCAACTGTCAATGACTCTTCATGGAGTGTGATTCCACTACGTCTTAATTTAATGAATACGATATAACGAGAACAAAAAACACAAACTTACCGAAGAGGCCAGCACTCCCACCAGTTGAATTAGATGTAATCTGTTGAGAATTGACAGTCGCCACTGCTGCAAAAAGACCGGTACCAGGAGCCGTTGGATTCACCTGGTTAGAAGTTATTGATGCACCACTAAATAATGAAGATGTGCCCGAAACGAAACTAAACAGACTAGAAGTTGTAACTTGTGCTGTTTTAAAAAAACATAAAAACATAGGTAACTTAATACTGTTATTGGAGAATAAATGAAAAAATGAGGGTTATTGTACATGTTTTTATAGTGTACTTAGTGAGGCATTTGCTTTCGATATTTTTATATTGTCGAACTTGATAGGTTATCGTTGAACTCATTAACTGTTAATACACGTCTTACTATTTACAAGATACAGTTAAGCGATTATGTACCTGTTATTCAATTTTGTTTCTGGTAGAATTTCGTTCTCTGAGCTACGTCCAATGTTAGCTTATGTTGATGAAATGATCTAACTAAAAGAACGAAACTCCACCAAAGTCATCTATCTGAAATACAAATCTTCTTCACTATCTCAAAATCGGTTTTGTACTAAAAATGACCTAGTTATGAAAAAGATTGTGACTTCTCATTTACTGTATGTTATGGTCTTGTAAATGATGTCATGAAATAATACAGAGCAAATCAGCTGTATGTTTCGTATTCTAAGTGGACAGACTGAGAGTAGAAAGAAATTGCATGCGCCTGTATCAGCCTCAGCATTTTTAGTGACTATAACAGGTAAAGCGAAGTTCATTCGTGATAATGGATTAGGCGAATTCATGATTAGTGGACTCATTAAATTAGTGGTCCTTTTACATAGAAGTTGAATTCATAACAAAAATATACAACTGTATAAATACTTTAACGCGAATGAAAAGAACTTAAGTAGTAGAGAAAAAAAGAAACAATGAGCTAGATAAGCACTATAAGACTGTTGAGTGTGGTGCAACAAAATATTATACTTTTTAAGCAACGTCAGTAAGTAAATTCACAACAACAGACTTCCATTTTGACCCAAAAACAGAATTCGACAAAAACTCAGTACGACTAGGTCAAGAAACCACATATGAATCAGAAATAAAATAAAATTCGAAGCAAAAACATTTACAGAGTTGAATACTAGAATTTATCTACAATGAAACAAACCTGGCACTGTAGATACAGCAGTAGTGTTATTGTTATTTACAGGTGAATTTACAGATGGCGTATTAAACAGACTAGCACCGAATAATGTAGATGACGAAACAGTGGTAGTAGGATTTGAAGTATTGACCTGAAATAGATTGGAACCACCACCGGACACTGGAGCATTAAACGGAGAACCAAATAAAAAACCACTTGTTTGTGTAGCTGGCTGTGAACTGAACAGTTTGTTACCACCGACAACTGACGTATTGGCCAATGTACCAAACAAGCCTGCCGATGACGACACTGTTGCAATAGTATTAGTTGCTGTTGTATTTTGAAATAGAGACTGTCCAGGTAAAGTGGAATTACCTCCAAAAACAGAAGAGCCAAATGGACTAGAAAAACTAGGAGTCATTGAAGTAGTAGTAGCACTAGTAGTTGTTGTACTGGTTAGAGTGGATGGCGAAGTTACTGAATTAGAAACACTGAAAAGACCAGTTACTCCAGGTGATTGTAGGATGGAGGAAGAAGTTATAGTTTGAAACGAAGAAACATTTGTACCAGTGAATAAACCCCCGCTCGAGGAAGTACCTTTACCGAAAACTTGTAAGAAAATGAAAAGTTTTAAGCACAAATAAGTTCCATTTTAATTATTAAAATTATAATTAACCAATCTTTGTATTTTAATCTACCTGTGGTACCAAACATTGGAGATGCTAGAATAGTTGTGGTTGGAGTAGATCCACCAAAAAGTGTAGACACATGTGTATTAGAGGCGATTCCACAAGATGGTACAGAAACGGGCGTACTGAAAGCAGCACCACCGAAAAGTGAAGAGACGGATGTAGTCGGTGTTTTATTGAAAGTCTCACTTTTCGAAATAGGAGTTCCAGTGAGACCAATAACGGTGTTTGCAGGCGAAACAGTGGTTACAGATCCTGTATTAATCGTAGAAGACGTCTGATTTGGATTGCCAAACAAAAAGATATTTGCACCAGTGCTGCAGGTTGATGAAGCAACGGTAGTGGCTAAAACGGAGGTAAAGGATGCATGAACATCTTTGAATAACTAATGCTTAGACAAAAGGCCTCGTAAATTTACATTTTGACAGTTACTTCAAAAGAATAGATATGAAGAAAGCACAAAATGTACATACCTGAAACCAAATTTGGAGCACCGAATAATGGTCTACTATTGAATGTAACATTTGAGTTTGTTGTAGTATCTGAATTTGTGGTTATTGCACTTGTAGTGTTCAATGGTATACCAGTGAAAAGAGAACTTAATGAAGAACTTATCGTAGTATTGATAGTAGCAGTACTGATATTTTGACTTTGTCCGAACCCAAACATTATACCTGAACTACTACATACTGGAGTTGGTAGAAATGAGAATAGCCCAGATGATTTAGAAGAAACAGTAGTAGTTTGAGGCAAATTAGCTGAAGAGATGTTTGAAACAAGATTTTCTTTCTTAATTTTATCTGTTTCTTTACACGGTGAAGCATTATTGAAAACATTCGATGGATTGGTGACAATAGGTTTAGAAATAACTGTAAAAAAAAAGGAATCTCCATATACACGAAAGTACTTTGTGAAAAAAACTTAAGGAGAACTTGAATAAAAACATTACCACGTCCATATAAATATCCTTTAAAAAAACAAAGACATCACAGATATGTTAGTTAGCGGTAAGTTTAGAGATTATGATTTACGCTAATTAGTCTTCGAGGTTAGACGAAACAGTGTAAATATTTGATCGCAAGTGTACTCAACTAAACGTTCGCATAATGTGAAACATTAAGGGTAAGTATAAATTAAAAGATATTTATATTATTATATTATCGCCTGTTAATATAAAATGAGTTAGAATCAGGGTACTATGTGAAGATAACAAATCCGTTGATAATGTCATGAACCTTCATTGACTAAGATAATCAAGACATGTATTAGATAGACTCAACCACTGCTTGCCTCGACAAGTAAGTAAGTAAACCGAAATGTGGAGTCAATGTACAACCCCTTAATGATAATTATCGTGTTCTTACTAAAGACTAGCTTCAAAAGGAAATCAAAGGGGTTCTAGTGGGAAGCTATGACCAGTAAAGCTAAACTATGTCGGTGTGAGGCAGTTACCGACCGACGACAGTGAAAGATGGTAGCTTAGTGTCGTGGATTGATTCGAGTTCGACATTAACACCACTGAATCTCAACTCAGTGGTCTAAAACTTAAGCGTTCATATGAGACCAAAGCTCTTAGGTTCTATTGCTACGTACGGAGTCGGAGGTGAGTATTGCAGAAGAGTCCTATACTAGGACAAAACAGCCGTCTAGTGCATCCAGGTTTTCAATGGTTGTCCAACCTATATATGTTTATGATTTAAAAGAAATTCAACAATCTCCACAATCCCTTACTGACAGTCAATGAATATTTGTTTCAGTTACGTAGATAGGTGTTAGTGTGATGTAGCGAATTGAAACAATTTACATTTTTGCTAAGTTAGTACGTTGCTTACGACTGACTGATTGGCTATAACATACCTATGAATGAATACGTTTTAGGAGATTGTTCAAAATCGGTAAGAATGTATACGTTGCTCTCGATTTCTTTTTTTTACTTTTCTCTAAACTGTAAGGTTAGGTACGTTATTAAGTTATAAACAACAATACAGGACCAAGCGCACACACACAAACACACGTATATTGATACGATATTGCCAAGCTCCATGTAGGAATATCCCGAAATAATAAGTAATAATATCAATGGTTATAGGAGATCCAAAATAAGGAATATAGTTTAAAAGGATATATATAAAGTAGGAAATAACATCAGAACTCGAAAGATCTAACAGAAGATTATAAAAAAAACCATGTATATTGACCATTATAATATATATCTCAAATATACAGTAAATTCCACAGAACATGTGAACAAAATATTAGGAACTTAAGATATTATTACTTAAACTAATCAAATTTATACTTTGATCACATTGCAATAATAAACAGTATACAATATGGAATTATTGTCTAATAATATAAATTAATAATTAATATATTTTCTTGTTTAGAATTGTTTTATTACAAACTCATTTGTATGATAAGATTTATCTTCATAACACACCTCATGATGTCAAAAGTGTGATTATAAATTAATAGTGAAACAAACTTGTTACTTTGTTTTTATCATGAATATACATGATATATAAACGTGAACACAAGTAGAGCAAATGCATGAAATACTCATGTATTACGTCATTATGAATAATGTTTTTAAATTATCTATTTTGTTGATGGATAAATCAGAACGAAGATTGAAGAAAAGGATATAGTTAGTCATATTCATAGCCACTTTTGGCTTATTTGTGTATAATTATGAATTATTATGCTCTTCTTGTAAATATTCACTATGAACTAACATCGGTGAAAGTAAATAATTAGTTACTATTCTTTAGTATCAGAAGGGGTTTTGTAGAGATTGTAGTAATTTCAATAGTTGAGATCATGAGTCAATTGAAGTTAGACCACCATGGAAAACCTGAAAGCACTGGACGACCGTTTCGTCCTATTGTGGGACTCCTCAGCAGACTGACAGGTGCTGGGTTTGAATCTCATGAGGCAGGATCGTGGGTGGGCACTGTTGAGGAGCCCCACAATAGGACGAAACGGTCGTTCAGTGCTTCCAAGTCTTTCATAGTGGTCTGGCTTTAATTGACTCATGATGTCAACTATTTAAATTATTCTTTATTTGTTTAATTTGTGAAGAGAGGTTACTCCATTTTGAAGTAACCTTTCTTTAAGAATTGTCATCAGTAAGAATGTCTTAGCTAAATGCTACTAACCATTATAATTTGAATATTTTAATCAGTGCGTATTATATGATGACCCGAATACAAAATCAAACCTAGTCTCCTGATCATCACTTCCTAGCATATGTGAATGGCTTAGGACAAATCAGATTTCTATCACATCTTTGCCAATAAACAATCTTCGGTTCGTTAGTAATACATATACAATTGCAGTAGGATAGTAGAAATGTGGTTTCAATGTTTATTAAGTAAATAATACCTGAGGGATTGAACAATGAATTGGTAGTAGGTATAACTGAGTTAGAATTGATGAAACTTGTTTCATTGATTGTTGTGACAAGTGTTGTAGCAGAATTATTAGCAGTGGTGATAGTAGGTCCAATTTTTTGAAAAACTGGACTAGAAACATTGGAATTGTTTACGACGAATGGTGCAGACGATTGACCTATAGAAGTACTACCACTAGATGTACTCACGATCGGCAGTGATGATGATGGTGATTGCGGCTTGAATAAAGTAGACTTTACGAATAGATTACTACTATCATTGGCAGTTGAAGATACATTGAAAGCTTGTTTATGAAATTTTGAAAACAAACAAATAGCTAATGTATTATTTACTCTAAGTATTACATAATGCAGAGAATAGAAACAAAATATACATTACAATAAGGACAAGCAAAACAAGATAATGACTAGATTATTTGTAAATTGGCTGCATCGCATAATGATCTCGGTCATTTTGTCGGTGATCAAAATGTAGTACTGGATAGCTATTTCTTTCTAACACCAGACTTCTCATCAGCGACCACATACAATCTCGCTAGGGATCGGACGCAAGACATTAAGGTCTCTCAGAAAATGTTTAAACATTGAAACTGCTGGATAGTGGGTTTGATCCCTGCAGGGATCATGAATATGCGTTACCGAGAAAGCTAGTACTAGGACAAAACAGATATCCACTGTCCCCTGGTTTTGAACTATACCTTAACAGGTACCAATAAAAAAAAACGTTCCAATCAATGAAATTATTAATAATTGTGGATTCTCATTACCTGACGTGATATTTGGTTGAGTGAATAAGGGCTGTTGAATTGGTTTCATCCCCAGTGAGAATGATTGTTGGAACGTAGTAGTGTTTGGATCATCTTGTTTAACATTTGAAACTGGTGCAGAATTTACTACTGATGATACAGTTGAACTGTTTGCAATTTGATTTCTTGTCAAATTAAAAGCTATATTTGGTGGTTTACTACTAATGACAGAAGTAGGAGTATTAGGAGAAAGAGGTGTAGATACTGATGATGGAACAGCTTCAGTTTTATTGACAACTTTCACACTTTTCTCAGTCGATGGTTTAGAAGGAGATTTGGGAACAATAGAGACTTCGGTATTAGAGGCAACTGCAATATAAAAAAAAACTTATCGTTATGTACATCATACAAATATCAATAACACACGTAAATTTGGCAGATTAATTTTGGTCGTTTTTTAAATCGCAAGCTGATTATAGTTACAAGACCATTGTAAACCAAGTATGGAACAGTTATACACCAAAGGATCGGAAGATAGTCGAGGAATATCGTAAATTGATTGAAATTAACCACTAACACCGTTGAGTATCATCTCAGTGATCTATGCGTTAAGCGTCCCTGCACGAGATTTGAGAGTCCTAGGTTAAACTGCCTGTGGCGATGTCATAGATACCCACTGCAGGGGAACTACATACTACAACGAAACAGCTGTTCAATGCTTCCCAACTTTAAATGGTGGTTCTCAATTTAAAAATTACGAAAATTGACTTTGATTACTTACATCTTTCAGGTTGAGGGAGAGGAGACTAAACACCTTGATATGTCCCAAAGAGTAAACAATACAGATTACACTACATTCCAAAGGAAAGTAGTGTTCTGGTTCCACGAAAAACTCTACATACAACTGTGTTTGACACAAGTGTAAAGTCGAGGAAGCAAGGAGTTCAGTAGTGAGGCATTTATACAAAAATACCGGACATAACTGAACGACTAACATCAAAATAGAAACAACAACAACACAAGACTGAAACAAACGGTCCCTCCAAGGAAGTTTACATCGAGAAAATAGACATTCTTACTTATAGTCGAAAATAATATATTTCATTTTAGAAAAAGAACTCACTTTCTCCTGAGACAACAAGTAACTGTTCTAACTTGGAATTCTTCATATTTCCAGGAGCTATACAGAGAGAGATAGGGAAGCAATAACTTTGAAATGTTATGATAATCAATCAATAAATCTCATTTTTTTTATTCAATCTTTAAAGCTTGCTATTAAGAACACTAATCTGTCGTAAATTTTACGTAAACCCGAAAACCGCTTATCATAGAGTGAGACGTTTGCTGATGTGGGAACAGGTTAGAAGAAAGCTTTGGCGGTTAAGTCTATGAAATCATTAACTGTTGGACTGATCTGTGTTGATAGGTGAAGAATATCTGCTTAGGGTCCACGTGATGGAGACGTTGAATGACATATTCCAGAATCAATCGTACACAAGCATTCACATTTCATAAAATACTTAAATCTTTTATTGTACGGACTGATTATATCTTCTCAAATTATATTCTATATGCCTAATCTTTCCTACTCCCACTGACACTGCAGATACTTCTACTCAACTGGTATTTGTCTTGATAATTTCATCTCTCTGTGTTCTATTGGTGTCGCAGCCTGAACCTATGCATAGATGTGTCAGGTTCTAAATTGTGTGTGACCAACTGATGTAGCGACGAAGTACACTTTTTTAAAGTATACAGACCACTTTAATTGTTATCTCTACCGCCGCTTTCATGACCAAGTTTCTTAGCACTACGTGTAGGACAGAGATAGCAGACGTTTTGGATAAATAAAGTAAAATATTCTAAACACAACCTGCTATCATTGATAAACATGTCTGAATTTATTTTCATTAATTTATGCACAAAGTATTTGAGTATGAGCCATGCTCCAAGCGTGAGGGCTGGCTGGCTAAATCTAAAGTGAAGCGAGGTTCGGTACTGAGACGTAGAAACTCAAAATCGAACGCCTGGCTTAACCACTGACCTACGGGTCCATATGTACAATATTTAAACTAGATACGAGGTGATTAATTAAGAATTATAGCACAATATGAGTATCGACATACAAAATAAGGTTCGCCTACATATGGTTGGGAATGAATAACAATGTTTCTTGGTTAAACCATAAAGCTGCTCAAAATACGTTTAGGTTGAATACAAAACGGTTATTGCTTTATAAAGCCTGTAAAGAATCCGTCGATGTAGGATTCATTCGTACGTTTTTAAAAGACTGTAAACATGAATAACTTATTGTTTAAAGAAAATCATCTGATTTTTCTCCACCCAAAGAGAGTATGGTGGTTTAGTGGTTACACCAAGGAGTTCGACCTTAAGCTACTGAGTTCGAACTTTGATTTATCCACTTTGGTTTGAAAAACCACTTATTACTAACCCCAACACTTAAATTGTGGCTCGATCCTGATCTGTACATGGTAATGAGTTAATAATCATCAACAGCATCTACTTAATAAGGTTAACTATTTTACTTCCTTTACTAAAGGGAATCAGAAAAGTGGATTACTACGTTGAATAGTCCTTTCTTTAATTATTCGATGAAGTAACGAACATAATGTAAGAAGATGATGATACTATGATCCTTAATTTCAATACACGGGGACAATCTTAATCACAACTTCCAGATTTAAAATGTGGCATAAGAACAAAGTGACAATAGATAAACGGACTAAACATCATTATTCAGTCACAGTAAAATAGCTGCAGACTTACATCTACCTTTTTTTTAAAAAAACAATCATCTAATTGATTGAAAAAAAGAACATTAACATCACTCATCAGTTAAGACATTGTATGATATGGTGTCTTAGAGTTAGAGAAGTTGGCTTACAATCAGCTTATTTAATATTTAAAACCTGTTCAGTCGACCGGATAGTATCGTTATCCATCCAAACAAGTTATTTAACTAAAATTCGAACACACAAATGAGTAACAATCAATAAAAATATCAAGAAAGGACCAAAACTATGTGATACAATTCATTCTTCTTAAATATGATCTATTCAAAGCTCACTATTTTGATAAGAATACCGGAAAATCATCTAGCTTGTTTTTAAAATAATTTTTAATAAACAATAATCTATTAAAATTTGAAGTTTATTGAATATTAGGATTTTTCTAAGTTTCTCACATCTTTCTATTCAATCACATGAAGGATTACTGGTGAAGTTTTGTACTAGTAGTTCAATCTATCTAGTTCGTATTTTATTATATTAGAAGAATCAGCTAATTGTTCGGAATTCGAAATTACGGTAATCTGTCTCAGGACAGAACAAATACAAAGGTCCTGATAAGACTAATTTATAAGTCTACTTGCAATCTGATAAACATCAATATCAAATTAAGTAAACGATAACTATTGACACTTGCACAATTTATCAAGGCATACAGAGTATCAATGTTCTGGAATATACTCAGTAAGCATCAATTCAGACAACTGCAATAACATTACATATATATATATATATATATATATATATATATATATATATACACTAAGTAATACTTACACGATGTAGTTTTCATCTGTGAATGATTTAATGTTCCGGATTGCACATCAGAAAATGATTGATTTTGGTCTTTGACAGTTTCACTTTCGAGTGAAATGGATGGACAAAGTTTCGACGGATAAATAACTGGTACTTTATAATTAGAAAATAGGCGTAATAAAGCTTGATCTCGTTCAATTAGCATATTTCGATATGGATTCATTAAATCAGTATCATCGCTGGGATCGGGAGCGCAATCATTTAAGAATGAAATACTTGAACAATTTAAACTTTTACGCATAGACTTTTGTTTTCCTTTTTTTTTCTCACATTTACCATCATATTTCATAGGGCTTAAACCTAAGCGTTTTAAATTTTCCACGATAAAATCAACTCGACTACGCTCCGCTCGAATAAGATTAGCATTTGTATCAATAGTACGCATGATGTTCGAATCATTATTAACACTAGAAGAGAAGTTGAAAGTAATATACGATTATTATTGTTATTATTATTATTATTAAACAATGCCATACATATTTTCAGGTTGTATTTATCAAAGGCTAATTTCCTTTAGAAAACCATCGAAAGCAAGGAAACGCCAAACAGCCGTTTAGTTCTAGTATACGGTTACTTAAAAGTGCGCACTAAAGACTTCCATCATTGAACTCAAGATATTCAGGTATCGTAGCGAACACTTAATCATTAGAACTAGAGGCGCTGACCACCAGTAAAATTTTAAGTTCAATCGGTTTGTGACATGGTACAATTATCAACAAACGCGGCCGATGACAATTGTTTGACTCCTTGACAAGGTGAACACCATTAATTAGGACGTTCGCTAGAACTTTAAGAGCTTTTTTAAGTCAATAGTGAGTCATGCACTGCTGGGGAGGTTCCTGTTAGGACAAAACAGATTCATTGAATAAGTTCAAGAAAAAAAGCCTGAATCCAGGAAAACAAAAGGAAACTACAAAGAACATGGGAATTATTTCACTTTAAACATTTTTGAGGAATTTGTGATGAGCAAAACTAGCTGGTAAAAATGCAACTGGATTAACCATGTACGAATTTGTGTACTCAGCATTAAACAGTATTATTTTTACGAGAGCCAGTGACACCCTTTTCCAGTCACCTGAAATAAAGCAGGGTAACACACGGATTTAGTTTGAGGTGACTCCCTGATTTTGGATGAGACGCTTTGTAACAGGCTGTGCAGACAATCAAGTTCGATTTCAATAAACCAAAAGTGAGTTTAGACATATTACGTGCCTGTGCTCACATGATCTCTTAAGGTCGAATGTCAGGTGAGAAACTGTGAACGAGGCATGCTATTGGAGGAAGCCAATTATGCCCCCTGTGAAGGTCCTAACATGCATGTCTCTGTCCGGGTTAGAAGGATAAATGAATATGTACTAGTGATTGTGCAGGCTTAGCTAATAGGTTTTGCCAATGACAGCTTCATAGATATTTTCTAGCCTACTCATTAGAATAGTTGGTTAACTACAAGTATGGGATATATGTATATCTGAATTAGACGTAGTAGATTGTAACAACATTGACTACAGTTTAAAGTTTAAACTATAAATCGTTGGATCGCAGGCCAGAGACCCAATGGTATCATACTCGACAAGTGAGGTTTTGATGTTTTGGGTTCGATTTTGTTTGTGTGCCCATATAGATTATACCAAACTACAAAGATGAGACAATTATTGCAATTGTTCCCTGATTTCTATTCAGTCTATGGCAATTGATTTAAGGTGATAGTAAAATATTCAAAAAAGCCCACTTACCTATTGCTTATCGACAACTTATCTTTCCTCTGTTGATTAGGTGATGACAGCATGGTTGCTGTTGCTGTTATTATATTTTTCGATTGAACCATTGTATTTAATTCTGTAGATAAACTTTCAATCTGATTTTCTAAATCATATAAACCAGCTTCAGCTAAACGTGCACGTCGTTTTAATTGACTAAATAATCGATTGGTTTCTGGATCTAGATGACCTGATATAGTGTGAAACCAATCACCGTTAGCATATAAACGCAATGCACGACGTAAACGTTCACCGAAACTAACTGAATTTGTTAAATCTTCTTTACGTTCATTTAACGCGTTGGTTAGTTCGACAATAACCTAGAATAGTCGTGACAGAGAAAAAGAGAGAAACAGTGATTTTGACAAAGGGATACGACAATACACTTAAATACACTATAAAACCATTAATTTAAGAAGCCATTTCGGGAGCGAAGGTTTTCCCCAATGGTATTGGATGATTGCTACACTGCTGCGAACTGAACGAAGTTCAAACTGTACCATTGGGACCCAACACAGCAGTTCTAATCGATAAGTGTACTCTGAGAGGTCTGAAGGTGCTAATTTTAATCCCCGATGAGCTTGTGGGTGGTGTAATGGTAAGGAATCTCATGCTGGAACGAAACAACTGTCTAGTGTTCCCTGGTTTTCAATGGTACCCTAACAAATACTAATCCGCGATGAATGTAATCTACCAATAAGAAACATTAAAATAATGGTTATATATGAAGTTTTAAATATAGATGATTCAGTGGTGACAAGTAATCAAGTAAGTTGGTCATAAAAATCCAGTATTTAGCATAAATATCCACATGTTTAAACTGTTTTACTTTGCATCAGTACTTTGAGAGATGGAGTTAACATAAGAGACACACATAGAAACAGTTGGTATGAAGTATGGCTTGTGGGTTGCTTAAATGTTTATGCCATATTTACAATTGTACAAATATTGCAAAAAATCTATTCATCTGATATTTTAACTTAATAATTATAGATGCTAACTGTCGTATATACTCGTGGATTTTTATGTTTAAAAAAAGCTTACAACTGAGCAAAATGATAAATGATGAAAATATCAAACAGACAGATCTTAGTTCTTAGTATGTTTTACATTTTGTCTACTTTTAAAGTAGCATCAAAACAATCAAGTATTCAATGTATGATAGATGAAAAATAGAAACAGTTGTGACAGGTGAACTGATAGAAAACTTTCATGGTTAAACATTAATATCTGATCCTAACTACCACTGTAAAGCACTCAGAAAAGGCATTTTTGAATAATTACAATTCGAATCCACTTTAAAGATAAAATCGTTACAACAATGCGTAATTATTATTACATGAGTTAAACGTAAGCGATATAATCCGAAAAGAATGAATGAATCTGTGACCGATTCCGAACAATCTCATCCAACTGCGAGGATCAACATCATGTCTTGATCCAGTCGCCACTTATATGTTTTCTCTCACCAGCTCCTATTTATTCGTCAATATATTTAGCAGTAGATAGTAATTAGGCACGTGTGCGACAGGTTTCCATAAGCTCAATCGATGAAGATTCACAACCTCATCAAATGACAGAGCATTTTCATAACAAAGTACTCTAAGCTTTTGTGACTCTCAGTCATTGGTTTTATCACACGTAAGTAAAGTTTCTAAAACAGCTCTACATGTCCACATATCATTTACTTTCAAAAAAATTTTTCACTACAAATAATAAAGCGAATTCCTCAGCAGTGATCATTACAGTGTAAGTATGAAGTTTACCAAAATGGAGGACTATACTACAAAAGATGCAACTACCGTAAATCAGGAATTTAAAAAAAAGGATATAAACAAAAGTTCGTTCTTTAGAACGAATGTAAGCACTAATGTTTATATCATAGCAGATAACTATTAGAAATTCAACTGAATATCAATTAACCAGAATAAAATTATGAAGATATATAAATAAAATCAAGTTGTTAAGAATAACATACTGTTGTTAGTTCGAGAAAATTCTTATACTTAAAAATTTATGAACTAAAGCTGTGAATTTATAGTAAAGTTAAATTGCAGCTAACAGCAGAATCTAGAATGAGCGTTTTGTCCTATTGAAGACTTATCAGCAGAATTCCACTTGCATATGTTGGTGTCGATTCCTAAAGTGTTAATCCACTAAGATACTAAATTCAGATAATCACTCATTTTTTTGTTTACTAGGCAAGAAGTTATATATGTCTGTATGTTTAAGTATTCCTATTGCTGATCTTAAAGAGTATGTTTGATTAGTTTCTATTGCTATATGTGTATTCTGAGAGGATTGTATCGGTATTGCGTTTAATTGCAAATACAAAACTCAAACCCTTATATATATATATATAAACTCTCGATACACATTCTGACACTTCTTATTAATAAAAATCAAATGAAAAACACTTCACACTTACTTCATTCATTGCTTTGAAAAAACGATCAACATTATGCAAACGTGCTTCAATAATATCTAAACCAATAGATTCACTAGACTTTTTATCTATTGTTCCATTTATTAATACATTGAATAAATTTTCCCAAGCATGACGTCCAGCTTCACTTTCTAATTGTAAAGCAGATGTAAAATGTGTAGCAGCTAATTGTATAGATTTAGGTAATGGTAAATCACCAAATGGTTGATTGGTGTTTTACATTGATGAATAGAATTTTCTTTATTAACAGGAACAATCGTTGAATTTACACTATTAATATGATTAACGGAACTATTTGTAATTGTATTTTTGTGCAATGAACTACTGAGCTTGGATTCAGTTGATATTTTATTCAAACTACTTACTGTATAAAAATGATAAGACAAGTACGAAAAAAGGGCAATGACACGCAATGAATTAAAAATTTGAAATCTAAGGTAATTAATAAAACCAGTCAGTCAGTTAGTCGAACACAGTGTAGAATCTGATGCATATATGTACATAGGTTTAAGTTACCATATATCATTACAACAGTGATATGACATTGTCAAGGTAAATCCTAAAGTAGTAGAGGTAATAACCTTACTTAATAAAACAATAACATGATAATCTAACCTATTCGCACAAAGTACAGATTCGATATACTCGACTTTTAACCATAATTTAGTTGTATGAAGGTTAGAGGGTGATAGAAAACTACCCGGTTGCTTGAACGGAATTATATGAGGAGTGGGATTTCAACTTGTAAACTGTTGGTTGTAAGTTGAGTATTTGTCTTGTAACCTATGGATGGGAAAGAAATTTAATTTTCAAGATAAATGTAGAGTACATTAACCAAATTAAAACGATCATCACTCTGCCGTTGTTTTCACATCACTTAGTGAAGGTGATAGAACAGGGCAAGAATTGAACCCGATAGTTCAATATTAATTGCACTGAAATGTGAACTACTTACAGTTCTCGTTTCTCCAATCACTTAAATGTTGAATGACTTCTTGTGTTCAATATTTTACATATAAGCGTGTCATTCTGTTAAAAGAGCAAACCTATTCTTCTGTTCAATAGTTTTGTCTTTGATTTCACATCTTTCGAAGGCTTACGCCAATAATTCGGTTTTGTGAGCAGCTATCATTCAACTTAGATGTCTCATTTAACTTCATCAATCGATCAACATTCATTTCAACAATCGTAAATCCGATCATCGAATCATGAAATCCCACTCTATAAAACTTCTAACCATTAAACGACTGCTCCACACGCGTTCAAATGATGAAAATCTCATTGGCCTTTTTTACGATATACGCCAAGTTTACATAACATTTACACAACAATACTAATTTGATACGTGTGATGTTTCTGTACATACACAGAAACGAAATTAACCGTTTATCAATGAGAAATAACATTTACATGGAAAATGATAGCTACCATTGTCATGTTTCTTTTTTTTATGCGTTGTGAGCAAACACATAAAACGTGTAGAACTTTTATCGTTCATACAAGACCAACCAAATCCTTACGTATACTTAATTAATCATTAATCACACATGATACTCTCATCACTCAAAAGAAAAATTGAAAGATACAAGAAAAAACAACACTAAAGTACTATAAAATGACACCCAATCAATAATGAAAAACACAGAGTTGGAATAAATGATCGATTGTTGTGCACTAATAAACACGTACATATCTGTTAATATTTGTTGTTGCTTTTGTTTTCACTGAAAAACAAATCTTAGGTTATACTATAATCACCTAGAATATGGTCAACTTCTTCAACAGGTATGCGGAAATTCACATGGTTTTCGTGTTATATACACAGAATTAGAGCAGTTGATATTTCAGTAAAGGGTAATTAAAATTGAAAAAGAAAAAAGGGATAAAAGCAATAATATCACGTGAGAACTTGAACGCAACGGTGAACAGAATGGAAATGATGAGAAAACTATGAAAGTATATAATTATCCGCCTCTTTACAAAAGTACAAGTTTATTTCTTCTATACAACGACTTATTTCTGAATCACTGTACACCTCGGTCATCAATAAGATTGTATTTATTATTTATTTTATTTGAACACATAAATATTGGTGCAAGGGGAACCAAATACATATGCGCCACACAAAACAATGAGAATGGGAAGAGAAAAAGAATGTAACGTGCGTATAAGAAAAAAGAAAGAGAACAATAACGACCACAGATTAATGTGTGGCAGTTTAATAATAATAATAATAATAATAATAATAATAATAATAATAATAATAATAATAGGGGAAATGGAAAGGTACAGTCAGAAAGAATTCTTCCAGTTAAGGAAGTTACAACTACTTTTTTATGAAGAAAGTAAAAGAAAGTTACAGCAGGATCGCCACTGGCTTCTATTCTGAGCCATATCTGAAAACGTCTCTAGCCACTGTGTTGCACCATCTCTCGGACCCCAGCCAAGGAGTCGAGGAAGACCAACAGAAGCCAGCCCTTTGCAGCCTTCTTTCATATCATGACACTATGTCATATACTGACCACCTCTCCGCTTTTTACAAGCAGTCCCAGCGTCGGCAAATAATGCTTAAAATGATAGTTTAAAAGGAAACCATGCTATGTAAGATGGTCAATCCAAGACATGTCATTAGTCTACGAGGTTGTTTACTGTCGATTGGTGCAGACTATCTTGATTAGAGTCCTCGTGATTATCATAACCAATGATTGGAGATATCGGATGATATACCTTAGAATCGATTGCAATAGAACAGATGCATTCACGCTTGTTTTCCCTCAGATCTTGAGAATTTTTTACGATTATGAGATAGAGAATGATAGCTTAATCAATTGGAGTGAGAATGATATACGAAACTGATTTTTTTTCAATCGTGTGTGACATGCATTAACACTTCAGTTAAATTATGGATTGAAAAAAAAATTAACAATAGGCGTTGAAGTGAAAACAGTACCCTGACATGTAATTACGAAGTTTTTACAATGAGTAGTAGAAACGTTGAAATCATCCTATCGGCAATAAATTATATTTAATGGATGGTGAATAGAATCGGCCAGCTACTAACAACAGGAAAGTAAGTCATGTGAAAGTGCAGAACCTCAGACAAGTGTGTCAGTGACGGAGGACATAAAATTCAAGATTTACAGGAAAATAGAGAAAGTATCCACCTCCGTTATTGTTACTGATTTCGCATCGACATCCAACGCATCCAGCCGCTACTGATTACAGGTGTTGTTTGGGATCCAACCGGGAAGTCCGCACCTCCCGATATAGATCATACAGAACAGTAAATAACTTGATGAGTTAATATTATATTTTGATCACCCTACTTCTGTCTTTCTTTTAACTCACTTATATGTCAGCCAACATTAGTTAGACATACGTAACACAAATCTTAACCACTTTAGTTTATGAAGGTTTACAACTTCCTCAATGACTACATAACTTTACTAACCAAACATTCTTTACAAAAACGTACGGTAAATAACATGGTGGGCATATTTTAAATAATCTTAAAGAAGCCACCATTACTGCTTCAAAATAAGCTGCATTGACCTATCAAAGCATCGATTTATTTTCTATGAAGAATAATTGAAAATGAACTTTGACTGTGTCATGGTTGAAAAGAAAAAAGCCATTTCCTTCGCTTTACATAAAATTAACATATCAAGTACATTTACAAATACCCAACACTTTACGGAATGCTTTGAGTATTAATCAATTCTTGGAAAGGGATTTTAAAATAAACTACTTAATTGAACAACTAAACTTGTAGAACAAAGGTAACAACAAAATTGTTTCAATAGTGTCAAGAATCTCTATTTTAGGTCAAAGGACTTTCTAATTTTATCAAATGATAGATAAAAGTTAGTTAGTCAGTTACAAGCCCAAAAGTGGATATACATACCAGGTCCAAGTGTCTACAATGCATTATCACACATGATATTAATCAAGACAAATCCTAGATTAATAAAAATAGTAAGAATACCAGTGGTAGTAAAAAAGATTAAGTATGGACAACACAATTTAAGAAGAAAGAATAAATTCGTGAAAAAAAAGAAAGTATAAAATAATTTTGAAATTCAAAATCTAAGGGGAAGCCCTCCTTCGATTTGGGCGCCTAGGCAGTAATCCAGCCCTCGCTGAACGACGAAGTGTGGCGCACATATATTTGGTGGCACCTTGTGGCGATGTTAATGTGTTTAAAAAATTATATAATAAGGGAAAGTAGAGTGCATGTATATACACCATTGTGACCAAACATATGAAAGATAACAGTTTGACAGTTATACAATTGCGTTAAAGATTAAATAGGCAAACGATAAATGATGCTAATATACAGAAAAAGTTCCACAAGATTATTGTTGATCGAATGACTTATATAATGAAACTTTGGCAATATATAATTGCATGTAGAAATGAGGAAAAGAAAACAGGAGCTTTTATATATCAAGAAAGACAACTCGATGTAAGTAAACACGACTGTGTAAATAATATTTACATGATCTCAGGTCAAACAATAATTGAGTTTAAACAACCAACAGAAAAAGAGGTTACATTTGCACGGAATTCTTGGTTTCTAGTAAATGTTATGTAAAAGATGATAATTCAAATAAAATGATTCTTAGAATTTATTTTTTATTTATTTAAGCATAAGCATTGGTACAAGGAGGCACCAAGTAGATATGCGCCACATAAATCATTCGATTTGTGTGAGGGTTGTGATACTGCCCGGGTGTCCAGACCGAAGCAGGTGGTTTTCTTGGGGGGCCACACCCCGAGCCTTTGACCTGAAGGTCTGACCCGCAAGGCAGTGTAGCATCGTGAGAAGATGCAGTCCCATGGTAGCCGGTGACCAACGATTGGTTCATACGCCATTTGTTTCCGCAGGATACTGTAGCCCATGTGCACCATTGGTTTGGGATCCGGTTAAAGCACCAAACATTCGCTTTTCGTCCTCACTATTTCGTAAACAACACCCTCGCCACGAGAAGGCAGTGAGTAGGACTTCCCTGGCAGAGGCTGTATACGCGTGGCTGTGAGAGCAATTCGAGAGGGAGGGTGGCCCCACCCACTCTCGGCCATACCAGGGCATTTACAAGGGTACATTTTATATTGTTATACAGATTGAATTTTATAAATTCCCACTTCAGTCAGTCAGTCAGTAACAACGTAGAACTTCGTACGTACGTACATCAGTTCGAGTTGCCACACCACATTAGCACAGAGATGCAGTGGTCGATTCAAATCCCGTAGTGGTAGAGGTAGCAAGAGTATAAGCAGTAATCGGGAAGATTAGGGTTTGGAGATGTTATTTAAAGAGTATAATCCAGTGAAAGAAATTTGGAAAGAGGAAAAAAGGGACATGAAGAATTCAGAAGATTAGAGTTTGGGAGAACACAGAGAGTGGATGCACCTGCGCCATTGCAAACGGTTTTGAGCCATGTCATTCAGGGTCTCTAACCATCGGTTGCTGTCATCTCGCGGTCCCCAACCAGGTAGTAAATTCCCACTTACACTTTTAACAATCTATCAGTAATGATAAAAGTATATTTTACAAATCCACACCGAAAATTATTTCATATAAAGTGATTGAAATTTGTTTGCTCAATTACACTCATTATCAGATAGATAATTCAGGAAAAAAAACACCATATCACAACAGAATATAACTTACATGGAATAGAGGATGTTATCGATTGTAAGCTGCTGCTGTTGTTGCTACTACTATTACCACTACAAATGGCTGTATTAACTGGCAAAAATTCTGAAACACGATGTTGATCATTAGCAGAGTCAACCGATGTAGTAATCACATTCTGTTTTGCTTGATTAGTCATCATCATCATCATCGACACTGCCGGATTATTATTTGAAGCTGAAATCAGTGTAGGTGATTTAGGTGTATTCAATGGTGATTTCTCAGTTGTTGAAAGTACTACAGGTTTCGGTATCGGCAAACTAATTAATTTAGGATTATTTAGATTGAGTAAATTTAATTGATCATTTGAGTTTAATAGATAAGGGCAAATATTTCCATTAGACAAATATGTTAGAAAGTATATTAAAGAAGTTTCAACGGATTCATCAGTCTAAGTAATGAAAAAAAATAAAAAATAAAAACAAATAATGATAAAATGTAATTAATCAATAATTTAATCAAAAAGGCTAAACACAAAGAATATAATCTAAATTCATGGATCAAAGAGTAGGAAATAGTAGTGAAAATTCAAAGTTGAGAAAAAGGACACAGGATGAATACATCTGTGATACCGTAAACTTTTTTTGAACTATATTACCTAAGCTCTCTAATCATACTGATTACGATTATAGAGTACGCTTTAATGGTGCTAAAAGCCACAGATTCTCTTATGTAGGGTTGAGTAGTTAAAGAAAGCATTTAGTTTACAACCAATAGGTCATAGGTTCCAAAAAAACCGTTTTACCTATTTATCTCCATATGGGTAACCAATAAAATAAGAGGCAAGAAGACTAGATAAAAGGTGATTACACAAGTATGTACTTGGTAAATGAATGGCATTTATTCGATAACATTATTTTTAACTGAATGACAAAATGAAGAGAGAAAATACAATACATCCGGAATGTATAATAAGGACACTTTTCAAAGTACACGAGGACGAATAATAATAATAACATACTCAGAACTTACTTTATTCTGAAGAACTCCAACATCCATACTCATAGCACAACCATCAGCTGGTAATTCAATGCTCATTACAACTTGAGGTAAACTCCCAGAAGTTGTAGGTAGTTTTAAAACAATTACCTCTTCACCGACACATGCCAATGTAACAATGACATGGTTAGGCCCAAGAAAACGAAAATAATATTGTACTTTGTTATGATCCATATGACTACTAAGATTACCAAATGAGACAGCAGATGGTTCCGGAGATTTCGACTAGTAAAAGAAGAAAACAAAACATGAAAATAAGGTCAATGACACATTGATTATCTAAGAAAAAACTTTCTGAACAAACCCACTCACCAGGTACCTAGGTATAAGGCACATTTTAAATGTGAGGAGTAATGAAACTACCTAAACCGAAGTAGATAAACCGCGATTCAAACTTACTGACTTATTAATAGAAATTTGAACCCCTTAACCTCCGACCCATTGGACTGAGATACTAAGCCTGTCAATTATTCATTTAGATATAGGATCAGTCTGACCATGATGAACTATTTTTTTACTAGCAGTAAATTGTAACTTCTTTATAAGTGTTTCTATTTCTCTAAATTATTAATATTTTTTATAATTTTCAGTGTTATTTGATAATGGGTTTCCTGGCTTTTTCTGATTTATTACATTTACTGTAGAAGTGTTTGAGGAATCGTGTGAGCTCGAATTTATGTAGTGCTGATGAATTGCTGTACCACTAAGGTATGTTTTCACATTCAGTAATGAGTAGCTAGGAATTCTTGGAGCGTAATTTGATCAGCAAACTAAGCCATCCTTCGTATTTATTAAGCTTAGGCCTATTGTGATTTTTTGTTTCTAAATTGTAAAACAGTCGTGTGGCAAGAGGTCGTACCGGGGTCATCTGGACAATAATGTAATACGACTACACAGCCAAACAGTTCAAATTCCGATAAATTCAAAGGATGCTTGTATTAATCAAAACGAATGTGGGACAAGTGTATTAGAGAGCATTATATTTTAAAGAGAATATAATATCTGTAATATAGATTTTGTAAAAACTGGTTTTTGTTACTTCAGTCGACATATTTGCTGAACAGACTATACTATGATAAACACTAATTGAAAAAAGTACAATGTAAACAATTATACATTTTTATTAAAATCAAAAACTATGCAGATAAAGAAAAAAAAGGATTTATATTAAAGTTAATTGTAAAAATAAGTGTACTACTTACAGTTGTACTAATGTATAAAACATTTGTTAAACAATCTGAATGCACTTCATTTACAGATTGTTTAATAGCCAAAAGAAAATTATATGAAGATGTCCATAATAGATCTACTGGTAAACTATTCTTCCAATCTGAAATAAAATTTATATTACCATCAAGGAAATTTAGTTTAAAAGTACAATAGTAGTGTGTTAAGTTGATGTTTGTTTGTTTGTTTTTTTAGAAAAATAAATAAATTACAAGTTCACCTGTTATTATTATTGTTATCATACAATTTTGGTTAAGTTCAATAAGCGAACGTAAACATAATCTAATTACGACAAACAACATGTATTAGTTCGTGAACTAGTGGCGTTATGGAAGGACACTTACTGTATGAGACAACTATGAAAACAGTATAATTTTCAATCATGGGTTGAATTGAATGTAATCTACTTTGAATGTAAAGCTGAAAATAAACAGCATACTGCTTGTAGTTTATATTACTGACTGAACCTAAACAATCCTTGAAGGCCAGGAAGAACTAGACGATTGTTTCATTCCATTATATGGCTCATCAGAAGCAAATATAACCATGATCCGTGACTTTCAGGGGCTGAGGCAGTTACATATCAATGGCATCAGAAGATAACTGAGGAATATCTCAAATTGACTCAAGTTAAAAATGCAAACGGTGAGAGGCCAGCCCAGTGATCTGAAGACTAAGCGATCTATGGGAGATCTCAAAGACAGGTTTTATTCCAGGTGGGATCGCGGATAGAAAGTTCCATACCAGGACGAAGCAAGTGTCCATTACTTTTTGTTTCCAAATAGCTCTCGAACTAAATTCAGTCCGTGATGTAAACTATAAAACTCGACAACCTCTACAAATTTTCTATGCCAATTAACCACTACTCTGGGATTTGTCTTGGTAATTTTATCTTTCTGTGCTGATGTGGTATGAAAACTTGAACCGATGCATGTGTCAGGTTCTACATAGCACATAGCGAAGTTATTGCTGAAAATCGAACGTCTTAACCACTGAGCCACCATTCCAAATATGTTGCATTTAATTTGCTTAAATGTTTCTTTTATTACTTACCATGATTTGATTCGAACAGATGACCAAGTGGAACAATGCGCTTTTGTTGTAGTTGTGGATCTACCTGCAAAATTAAAGGACCTTGTACAATTCCATTTGCAGTGGACAGAGAACCATTTAAACAGATAGCAAGTTGTTTCCCTTTTGGACTCCAGGACACTAAACAAAACCCCCCAACAGAATAAGAAAAGGAAACAGAAAGATTCAAAGTAATAAACACTAACCGAAGCATCGTCGAACATAATTTTATAATTCCATTATAATCAACAAAACACACAGTTACATTGTATTTTTTACTAGATTATATATCCGAGAGAATTTATTAGTTACAGTAATTCCTAATTTTACAACAACAATTTAAACATATTTTTTAAGCATATTTGGATGGTGGGTAACAGTGGAATTTAGGACGGAAGTTTCATCCTACTTGGGACAAGTTAAGCAGATGTACCTGGATTTCAGTGTTAATGTTCACAACAAGATTCGAAACCAGTACTTTTCGCTTTAAGTCTACAATGCATTATTCACTTAGTTATTAAATCTAAGTAACAACTGGCCTGTAAAACAGGATGAATTTAATTTCTTTGTATTGGTTATTTGAATCTTTCTCTCAATATTCTGAACTACAATTAGCCAGTCTCTTTTAACATACGTGCATATCAAGCCGATTCGCACAGGATGCATACGACAAAAAAACTCACCAAATGTATTTATTTATTTATTTCAACACATAGATAATGGTACAAAGATGCACCAAATACATATGCGCCACACAAATCTCATTCGATATGTGTGAGGGCTGTGATACTGCCTGGGTGCCCAAACCGAACCAGGTGGTTTTCTTAGGGGGCCACTCCCCGAGCCTTCGACCTGAAGGTCTGATCCACAAAGCAGTGGAGCATCGTAAGGAGATGCAGTCCCATGGTAGCCGGTGACCAACAATTGGTTCGTACGCCATTTTTTCCCGCAGGATACTGGAGCCCATGTGCACCTTTGGTTTGGAATCCGGTTAAAGCGCCGGACATTCGCTTTTCGTCCTCTCATTTTTGTAAACAACACCCCAGCCACGAGAAGGCAGTGAGTAGAACTTCCCTGGCAGAGGCTATATACGCGTGGCCATGTGAGAGCATTTCGAGAGGGAGAGCGGACTCTCCCCACTCTCGGCCTTACCAGGACATTTGGGGGCACTAAATGTAATAACCAATACAAACGAGTCTGTGTGTTCACATACAAGTAACGGACAATGCTTAAATGCGTACACTTCTACAACTTCGAAAATTTCTATCTGGAGCGAGCACTGAAATCAGCGTCTGCATCGATGGGCTATTCTGAATAAACAAAACTTCCAAATTTTAGAAAATATAAAAGTAACGAAATACTCGATCACGCACGTTAGCAGAAAATATTTTTCAAGTTTAAAGTAAATAACAAATTCTCAAACATGACAAGATTTAGCTAAAACTAATATACTCAAAAATTAATGTTTAATGTAACTTATTTGCCAAGTACAAATTTTTGTAGTAAAGTTTAAACCATACAACTAGTAATACCAATCAACTGAATAAACCGAAGCAGATAGGGTGAAGTTTAAGCCTGTTACTTCCTTTATGTGCATGTTCATCAAGATCTTGAAACCAATGAACTTATAGCACAGAACTCCACCATTTTCATCTTGTATCCAAGTAGATATGCTGCTTTTCCTTATTCTTCCTCACTTTAAATGATAAAACCGTCAATGGATGTCAGTATGACAAACAGGGACTAAACTTTGTGATAGTCACATAGAAAGAGTCAAGATTTCTACATATTTTACTTTGAAACATTTTAACTCATTAAAAGAATATAAAAACTAGCATTCTACAATAGTATCCACTAAACCCCCAAATTCCCTGGTACGGCCAAGGGTGGGGAGAGTCAGCTCTCCCTCTTCAAATGCTCTCATATGGCCACGCGTATACAGCCACTCCTAAGGAAGTCCTACTCACGACCTTCTCGCAACATTACTGTCTTATACGAAATTGAGAGGACGAAAATTGAATGTTCAGCGCTTTAACCGGATTGGTGGATATGGAGGATTCACCTAGAGGAATTAGAAAACACCGGTTTTAAACCAATAGTGCACATGGGCTCCATGATCCTGAAGGAACAAATGGTCACCGGCCACCTTTGGACTGCATCTACTTACGTCGCTCCACTGCCTTGTGGATCAGATACTTAGGTCAGATGTGGCCGTCTAAGAAAACCGCCTGCTTCGGTTTGGCCAGCCGGGCAGTGCCATAGCCCACACACGAATCAAGCAACTTGTGTGGCGCATATGTATTCGGTGCCTCTTCGTATCAGTGTGTTCAAATAAATAAATAGATAATAAATAAAAAGTATCCACTAAATTCTCTCTATTAAAGTATTTTATTACTTTAAGACTGAATAATATTGGGAATCATTTCTATGAGCGTCTAAAAGAATTACCTATAAAAATTATAAATATTAATATTTGTGAAACTTAGCAACTAAATGTAAAGGTCCGAATACTCGGCTCTGAGCCTTAAATAAAATCCATAATGTTTAATAGTACTTCCTGAACGTTGACATTGAAATTCATATATTTTTAAGTTGATTAATCATTGCATAATTATGACTAAACAAAAACTAAGCTTAGCTTTAGCTTATTAGTGTTAAATTATTGTCAGCCGAAAACGGTGGTCCACCAGTTAAGTGAAATCACAATATGTGAAATGTATTCTCGTTAGAAAAAAAAACATGGACAATACACGAATTAAATCGTCCAAACATTAAACTTGGCTATTATATAAAGTGCTATGTACATGATTTAAGGGGTGAATATTGTGAAAGTGTGACGTTTGGGAATGTCATACGAAGGATTATTGTCTGTATTTTTGTTGGATAGATATTAAATACTTGGATTATTGTGCTATTATTATTATCCTAGTTGTAAGCTCCCATTTGAGACACATGCTGTTGTCCTGTGTTTAACCTTCCTTAGGTTTTTGTGAATTAATTATGGACCTAATATTTAATTCTGTCTCGCTTATAAAACCGTAACCCTCCCATTGTATTTTCTTGTTTATATTGATATGTAGTCTGGAAATCGATTCATAATGTTATACTAGTTTTAGTTGAACTGTACAAAAGCATATCTGTTTACTGTGTATTTGTCCCACCCTGACTTTTGGGCAAGCGTGTATGAGAAACTGTATCCTGAACCAATAGCTAAGTATTTATCTCTGCTGTTATCTCACTATCGCTGAGTTATTGGCTAAAGGAAGGTCACTGTGTCATTGGCTAACAGGTCACTGGCTCTACACAAGCAATCTACGAGAATCAGTCAGTAATTGAACTAGATAATACAATAGCTCCTCAGAATAAACACCCAGATTACACGGGAGGAAATATCAAACAAAAGACTTGTACCCTTTTGTTATTAAATCAGTACCTGAACTAAGGATAGGGAGTGAAGTAATCGGACGCGTTAACAACTTCACTTATCTTGGAAGTCTGATCAGCCCTAATGGGTTAGTGTCTGACGAAATCTCAGCACGGATTCGAAAAGCTCGTTTGGCTTTTGCCAACTTACTTCACCTATGGCGAAGGCGAGATATCCGTCTACTAATTAAGGGACGAGTATACTGCGCGGCAGTTCGTTCTCTCCTACTTTACGGCTGCGTAACATGGCCACTAAAAGTAGAAGATACTCGTAAGCTACTATTATTTGACCACAGATGCCTCAGAAATATTGCTCGCATCAGCTGGGATCACTGGACAAGTAATAGTGAAGTTAGACTCAAGGTATTAGGGAATGATGGTAAATCAGTCGATAAGTTTGTTAATCTTCATCGACTGAGATGGTTGGGCCAAACCAAAACGTGGCACCAGTATTTGAAGTCACGAACTCCTAATCTAAGTCATGTTGGTAGATACAGACTACTTGGTTGGGGTCCGCGCGGCTATCATGACCAATAGTTGGAAACTCTGGGTGATATGGCTCAGAATCGATCACAATGGCGTAGGTGTTTACATTCTTTGTCTTCCCTTAAACCGTGAGATTAGAATTACTTTATACCTTTCTTTCCACGAAGTAATTCTTTCTCCTTGTATTATATCCTTATATGCAATCTTTTTTTTATATATTACTACCATTGGAGTAACTACTTTTATGAATTATGCTAATGGGTGTGGCAACTTGTACCAATGCATATATGTGCCTGTTCTACGTTGTAGTTGACTGACTGACTGATTGGTAAGACATACTAGGTTTATGCGGTCTAAAATTATCACTTCTAAGGAAGCTGGAATGTCATAAAGGAAGAAAATGAACTTACCACATCGACAGTCTGCAGTTGCTGACAATTGACCAACAAGAGTGATTGATTTACTTCCATCTGGCGGAAAGTTAAAAAGACGAACTGCACCCGAATCAAGAACAACAACAAAAGTAGTCGGATCAGTTGGACTCCAAGCAAAGTCACGTAACCTCCATAGACTAGTTTCTCCACCACAAACGCGAATGGAACGGCTAATATTTGACAAATCAGTCGATCCAGACTAAATTGGAAGGAATAAACAGGTGAAATATACGATCAGTAGTGTAGTCATTCAGTTGTCAAAGTGAAAAATCTCCCTTAGACAAAGAAAAACATGGTACTTAAAGTGTTACTTTAAGCTTACATCGATACAAATTATCCTGAACGAGAAACCTAGAAACATTTTTTAATACCGCAAAAAATCTAAGGGTAAAGTTAAATAAATAAACAGATGTCTAAATACTTAGAAAAGAAACCAAGCAAACTGGTAGTTTTACACTATTTAAAGCAAGAAATACATCACCTTTACCTATATATATATATATATATATATATATATATATATATATATATATATATATACTATGATAAAAGTATAATGCAGTTCAGCTATCCCGAAGCACATTTTGTGTGTTTCGCCAACAAATTTGTTTGACGTTGGAATCGATGATATTACATAACTGTTAAACCAAGAAGAGATGAGAAAGGGTTTGAGACTGTTAACTACTAGTTGAAGACTGAGTACCTAAACTAGTGAAGCATGGTCTCATATCACTAATTCCAACTTATAACAAGGTTATGTCAATAGTAAATCCTACTTGTTGTCATCACAACAAACTGTTGTTTATTAAGGTCCTCAAATGCCCTGGTACGATTGAGAATGGGAGGGTTCACTATCCCTCTCGAAATGCTCGCATATAGCCATACGCAATATACCCACTGCCAGGGAAGTACTACTCACTGCCTTCTCGTCGCGGAGGTATTGTTTACAAGATTGAGATGAGAATTAGATTTTTGGAACTTTTTGAACACCCGGTTTTAGAATCACATTTCCTAAATTGTCACAATCCTCAAAATGTTTACAGAATCTCAATGACATCTATTATCTATCAACTTAAAAATATAAGGAAACCTACCTTGTACTACGAAGATTAAGACAAAAGCGATGGAAAGTTAAAATGAACGCAGTAAAAACAGTTACCTTCACAAGATCAACTACATTAAGCAAATTTGCAAATGTCCCACGACTTTCGCTGGACGTCAAAACAGCCAGTATCAAACCATCAGAATTAAAAGCAGTCCAGATTATAGGATCAATCGAAGAAACAACAATATTCGGTTTGTGGTCAGGGAGTGGTTTATCTCTTCGAAGTTTGCATATTCCAGTAGCTTCCAAATAATATTTCGTATCATACAAAAGGAGACCTGGAGTTTTCAGAGGAAAAATGTGCAAGGTTAATTTAGGTGAAACTGATAAGCTCGCAAGTAAACGGGACCATTCATGTCATGATCAGTATTTGGCCATCGACTAGCCTCATGAACATACTTACTGAGATGGGTCAATTTTAATGTACAGCACCCACCGAACAATTAACGATTGTGTAGAAAACTCAGTTACAGACATTAGGTAGTATTACGTAACGATTATGGCTAAGCTACTGCCACACTATGAAACTCAGCGAGGGCAAACTTTTTTTAAGTGTGAGTAGTAGGACAAAAACAGGTGCCCCAGATCATTTTAGTCAAAACGAAACAAGTATAGTTGCGTACACATAGTACGCATGTTGCTACTCATAATAACGGCTACATACTGGTTCCCCCATATTTTACGGCAAACACAAGGTGGAAGTCATGAGCGATAAAGCAGTATGCTAATCTGAAAACCACAACAAATTTTGTTCAATAATTATTTTCTTTTACTAACGATGATCTAGACCATACACGTACCACGATCAGAAACACAAACAAAACATCCATGGGGACATATGGAAACCAAAGAACTTCTTTCTGGAAAGGCTAATGCACCGCAATGGAATTGGTGCAATTGTTTATACGCTATTTCACTCATCAGGATATCAGCTCCAAGGTAGCGCGGAGAAACGAACCGAGCGCTCCTTAATTACTCTAATGACAATTAGCGTAAATATAAAATAAAAATATCTTCCTATGCACTGAGACACTTTTCTAGTAACTATATTTTTATTCAATGGGTTCTGCTTATCAGCCTCTGTTATACATTATATACTGCCTATTACTCCGATTACATTGTTCCATTATCTTGCTATGTACAGAACATATCCGCCCAGATGTTTTCTTCGGTTTTAGCCCTATCTATCACTACACATCATCAGATAATATTACAGTGTTGCTTGTCTTTTAGACCAACCGTCGCATGGCTGTACTGTTGACCTTACTTATCTCAAAACACTGCGTAGCCAGAAGAAAAGTCACACACTGGGTGAAATACCCTAATAGTTGTTATCAGAAAGACTTTTGCCGATAATTTTATGTTTTATCCTCAGTGTTGTTGTTTTTTCATCCACTACTAAAATATTTGCTTTTTGAGTGTAATCCAACCAGCTCTTTCCTTTGTGTGTAAATATGAATACTTCCGTACTATTATTTATAACTAGATCCCTGTGACGGGCCAACACATTAGGCGAAGTATCAGTCGGGAAAAGGCAGAAGACTGATTTGCCTGTGTTAGTCGGCCGACCATATTTTCTTTTAAATACTTCGGCTGGTGAGACTTCACTATGTACTGACGGAGTCACATCGGTCAAATACTCAATAGGAAAGGCGCACGTTGGTTGGCGACTAACCAGTCCTAGGCTCGCGAACTTCTTCAGGGAGACAAGGGAAGGAAGTCTCTCCGAGAATGAAATTATTAATAAACAATCCAAAGGTAGTTCTTGAGTCACCTCTAATTCTTCTATATTAAAATAATAATAGATTTAGTTTAGTTAGTCTCTTTTCATACGGCTGCACAGAGATTCTAGGGACTAACCCAAACCCTTTTCAATAGCTCGCCGTCCTTTCGAAAGCAATACTCAAGGTTCACTCGGACGAATTCTTTATACAAAGTCGAGAATGTTCTAACATATGTGTGGCGAAATGTTCTAAGTAACGGTCAGACGAAACTTAAACACTCACCAACATTCACACAACGTACTCTCAAGTCCTGACCAACACTGTCAGTAAAAACGACAATTGTCTATACAATGCTTACTTCAAAACTATTCCCGTGTATTTACTTGCACCATGATTGGCAATTTAGATCATAGGCACTTGGAAGAATTATTAGGCAGTTGTCAACTTCGGAATCGCTTGTATAACTCCTATAAACTTTTCACATTCTCTAACCAACTGCCCCTCACATTTTGTTACTCTTCATAACTTCGTATTGTGGCCAAATACCTATACGCTTTGATAGAAAACTTCAGAGGTAGTTTTCGAATAAAATACGTTTCTTAGTCGTAGCAAAGCCCTCTGAATAAAGAGGGATATTATTCACGTTCAGTTTCCTCTGACATTGGAAATCAAAAACAGACCAGTTAAAAGTGGTAGAGGTGGTGAAGAAGTATAGTCAAGAAAAGACTTTCACACTAGTGACAAAGTTAAAGTAAAAGTCAAGTCATCTGAAATATTCTGCTGATTATATTGTAACTACAACTCTAGGTTGAGAATTCCACATATTACTGACTCTGACCACTGAACTAAACATAAAAACTTTAAAAATTAAGTTGTTGTACTGTAACTCCATCATGTTATTAAAATATATTCCATCAGCTTTGACCATTACATTCGATCCACTTTTAATAGTTTTCATTCACAGGTATTATATTGACCACTGGATGTCCAACCTCGATCTCCAATCAATTACAGCCAGACACGGTAGTTGACATCCATACAAGTTGTGAGTTTGTAAAGTGTCTTAACCAAAATCACCGGGTAGTAACATTTTATACTTTTATTTAGGTATTCCACAAATATTTCAGATCCAGGTGAAATTGTCATTATTCACTGTACTCTGTATTTTAGCTTTCTTGAAGTATTATCTCCAGGAGCTCTCTGTGAACTTGACTGGTTTTAGTTTAATCATACTTAAGAATGGGTCCTCTTCCATAGTGACTTTGTGAATTTGAATTTTCACTGCTTGAATAGAATCAACTGAACTACTGTGTAATGGGGAATAATATTCCCTAATCTTTGGTGTTCCATTAGTCAGCAGGTAACCAACTTGCGTGAGTATAAAATACGCTCAGTTGAAATTCATTCACTCATCTCAACTATTTTATTTCATTGTTTAGTGACGTGAATTCTGCCGATAATTATTTGCACTGGGGTAGGCGGCACCTATATTTTATTAACATCGTCACACGACTAAATCGAATTCAGATCAAAGAGTCACAAAAGCGTAATATATTCGCGTAATTTCCATGCTCCCATTTATTACATCCCGACAAGAATAATGAAAAGTGACTGTTCGGATCTATTTATGGACTAATATTATAAGAACATTCTTACTGTATGACTATATTATATGCATATTCATATTTACTTCATTATAAGCTGTTATTTGACCTGTCAGCTATTACCACACGATTCAATATTCTTGAGATATTCCTAATCTATTGGTCACAGTCCCTCACAATCACAGCCACTTTCTGCTTGATCTTGTACAAAAGTTATTTTTTATTTTATGGTGTAAGTTGGCCTGATTTGCTTGTATATAAACTCATTACGTTTGAAATGTATGATTCATATCGCGGGAACTGAGGCTGCAGTTCTGGACTTAAGAAACAGGGCTAGGTGTAAAAAGGACAAATAAGAACTCTAAACCGCTCATGGTGATGTATGCGTCATAAAATTGACTGTATAGTTCAGAATATCTAAATTGATAATCGAATTTCGTGATAATCATATAGCTAATGACATCACGACGTTTATATTGTTTGTGGTCATAACTGAACCCAATCCGACCACTTCATTTGGGATTTATTTATGCTGAAGGACTGATGTTTAATGCCTAGCTAGTGGTCATGGAGAATCCAAATTACATTAGTTTGAACGTAACGCCCCTTCTCTACTCTTGTAATCTCTGATGCACTATGATGAGGTGGTTCTGTTGTGTAACTGATCTGAATGCTGGGTACAAAATAATCCTGAAGAGACTACTGAAAATGTACCGGATTGGACTGATCTTATTTAGACGTAAATTGCCAAAAGACACAAAATTCCATGTTATGTGAGCGAGGCAATGCAAAACTCTGTCAGTCCTTATGATGCTGTAGGGAGAAAATTATTGAGGTGGTCTTACCGCTTGATCAGTAGACCATCAGTAAACTTCCGAAATTTGATCAGATAAGCGATCAGACACTTATTACTGAAGAGTCACGCAAGATGTCTGACGGGAGATCAGAGTGTTATCATTTTTTGTTTAGCAGATTGCCGTGAATCATCTGGAAACAATTTTCCTTTGACGAGGGATAAGATATCTTGGGAGGATTATAGTCGGAACCGCCTACCATGAGCAACACTTTAGAGACTATGGTGATAGGCACAGCCTTTTAGGAAGTTTCAATGTGGGTTTCTTATTGTTAAATGAAAACCTGTTAACAAACAAGCAAGGTCAGTGAAAAACTATGATTGCTGGTAACGTCAAACCAAATGGTCACGGCGTGCTCACTATTTTGTGGCACGGGATCTGACTCCAGTTAGATTAAATGAATATTTGTTGTTCAAATATATATAGCCCGTGTGTCAAACGTCACAATTTGTACTTTGTTTCAACAATATGTCAGCGGTTAGTGGTAATGGGATATTTATACGTATTGACGATTTTTTTGTATATTATTCTGCGTTTATCAAAAATGCAAAATGCGACAGATTCAGCTGTGCTCATCAAATTCTGTTTGAAACTGGACTTTTATGGGAATAACCAGTTAGTGTACCAATTTGAGTACTTTTAATTATTATAAACAGCCTTGTGTGTTACTATGTATTGCAGCACATACGCGATAAAACAAGCTCCGCCGAAAATAATTTGTGGCATATTTGTGTCAAATACTGTGCATATGTAGTAAAAGATTTTGACGTCTACCGACAATAATCTGCTTACAAAGATGCTAGTTAAGAACCACGATAATTACAATCTGTTAAGCATCTGTCGCACTACCCTAAAGATATAATCCAAAAATAAAAAATAATCACCAGCCATCATTTAAAGGCTAAGATGCGACTTAAGCCGTGTGACATGAAAAGGTCACAAATAAGCACTGTTCAAATTCTGTTCTTACTTAATGATGCAAAGGATAATAGAACCAGACGACGATAAGAATAGTCTATAAACAGGTATTTAGACTGAAGACAGATATATAACCTAAGCCGACGAGTTATCGTATGATATGAGTAGCACAGAGTGACAAAACGTGATGCGGGTACTTTAACAAATGCCTTTAGCCAGAAGTGTGTAGAGCCATTAAAGTGTCACCGAGCCCTATCCAAACCATTCGGCATTTGCGTCACTGAATATCGAAAAGATAATCGATCCCCATCAAAATCGAGGACAGCCAACGTGAATGAGTTGATCGTTGGCAATGCACTGGCCTGTATGGTGGTGGTCACACTTTTGCTTATACATACCTTAACCAATATATTTCTGTAATGATGACTTTTGGGTTGTATTATCATCAAAGTATCCATAGTACCTTGGTAGGCCGAAAGGGTAATCTACATTAGGTGCTGGCCGCGAGGTGTGACTTCGACGCTAGCTGTTGGTCACAACATTCTCATAAAACACGAGTAGACCCACAATCATACGACAGAGATCATCAACTTTGATGATCTACAAGTGTTCTCACAAAAAAGGATTTGGCAATAACATCAAAGGCTTACAACGCTATTTGTTTCCAGGATCTATTCAACAGTAAAACCACTGTAATAACCGTTAACAAACACTAATGATCTAAGTTATCCGATTGAAAGTCGGTTGTTCTGGCTGCTGACAGGCGGACACTAAAGATCAAAAAATTGAGCAAACGTAAGTATATTTAATCACGGAATTAA